CTGCTGTGCAAGTACGTGAAGCACGAAGTAATCGCTACCGAAATTTCGCGAGGCCTCGCCCCTTGGAAGGAGTGTCAAGTCAACTCCCTTCCCAACTGCAGTTCTTCCTGTGCGCGTCTCCCGCAGATGCACCCTCTCCGACCAGTTCGACAACGCCATCAGTGTTTAGGAAACGCTTGGGCGGGGGCGTTGAACTTATAAAAGACTACGCGCATGGTGCGCCCCAAGTTTCCGGTTATGCCCGTGTCTTCCTTCTGGAGAAATGACTGTGGCTTAAGAGCACGGCTGGGTGTTCAGTGTTTCACTTGGAGTTCACTTTAGGTTGGGGCTTGAACCCTTTCATCCGTTTACCTGGTTACAGCAGATTGGGGCATTTCAATGAGTGTTATTTAAAAAAAAAATGTGGCATGGCTATCTTTCTGTTTTCCTTTGCGAGGGAATAAAGGTGTGCTAATGGAGCGCGCGAAAATGTAGACAGTAGATTGTTATTTGTGCGCAATTAAAGCACAATTAGCATTTTTTACATGCAGATATTTCCACTGGATGGCGTTATGTTCTTTCGGTGCAGAAATTCAGTAACGAGAATGCCCGTAGTTTCTCTCCGCTTTGCATTTTCGATGGAGGCGAAAATGCCTGAGGCCCGTGTACCTAAATTTAGGCGCACGTTAAGGAACCCCTGGTGGCCGAAATATCCGGAGCCCTCCACTACAGCGTCTCTCATAATCATTTGGTTGTTTTGGGACGTGAAACCCTAACAATTATCTCCGCTTTGCAGGGATATCTGAGTGGTTTTTGGCGAAAGTAAAACCAGGGTCAGACACGGAAATATTGTAGGCCCGTGTGCTCAGATTTGGGTGCACGTTAAAGAACCCCTGGTGGTCGAAATTTCCGGAGCTCTCCACTACGGCGTCTCTCACTATCATATGGTGGTTTTGGGTCGTTAAACCCCCATACCAATCAAATCATCACTGCTTAGTGCAGTAACGTGTCGGACGGAAAGTTAAAGGGCACACCACATAGAGTTCAAGGTTGTTGTTTTTTAATAGTTTGCATAAAATGCGGTTGCTGATTTTCGCGCTATACTTCCGCACGTCAAGTGCAAGCACAGTCCGTCGCCGGCGCTTTGTTGACAAGGTTTGGTGTGTGTGTGTGTGTGTGTGTGTGTGTGTGTGTGTGTGTGTGTGTGTGTGTGTGTGTGTGTGTGTGTGTGTGTGTGTGTGTGTGTGTGTGTGTGTGTGCTAACCTTTTTTTTTTCTCTGGAGAGAACATCTCCTTTCCGGCTGCGGTCGTCTGCGCGCGCGCTTATCTCGTGAGCGAACGTGGGTGGGGGGGAGGAGACGCTTACAGCAGCAACGATCAGCCCGCGCCTCGTGCCCCCCCCCCCCCCCCCCCCCCAGCAGGCGGGAGCCTCTACGGGCTCTGTTCTGAACGCGAGGAAAACGGTGCCTAGAGTGTACCTGGAGTGGTAATGTTCTCCTACACCAGCGTTTTGTAGAGTTACCCGAGATCGGATCTGAATGAGTTGACTGCCAGCCTCACTTCGTATAATATTGCAATTTGTCGCTATAACATTTGCTTCACGTTTTCGGTGAAACTCATTTTGTGCAATCATCCCTGCCACAGTCGCGAACTGCACTTGACAACATGCGCACAAGTGTCCATAGCCACCGAGAAAGTTTCTTGAGCCACAGCAAGGTATCCAGCGGGTATGCACGCTTTGCAGGTTCTGTACCGTTTGTAACAAGTTATTCGGGTTCATCTGTACATGTGATTATGTTTCGTGCGTCATTTGTGCGTGAGAAACGTCGGGCACGTTTCGATCTGCTTGCAATTCTTCGCGTGACCTTCCAATTTGTTGCTATCGCGTTAGTTGCTTCGCCGTTGTGGTAAAGCTGTGGCTTTCTGCTCTTTGTACTGCACTTTCGTCGGATACACTACGCAGCGCGAAAGGCGCGAGAGCCATTTAATTTTCGCTCGGTGAATAGTCAGCCGCCGGAATGCCGTCGAACGCTGTCCTTGAAAAGCGCTGCTGTAAACGGGCTTCCCCAGCTTATAGAACGCGCGCGGCTCCCTCTTTTTCCGCACTTATTTCTCTGTACGACGTTAAGTTTATACAGTGAAAGCAGTGAGATTGTATCGTATGGAGGGTCGTGCTGAGAGCGCCAGCAGTGATCGATTCCTGTTCTAAAATACTGAACAATGCCAAGAAAAAACACTACAAAATTGCAAACAAGAACGGCTCTTAGCGCCTGACCTACTCACGGACGGCCAAAAAGACTGTTCTTTGAGCCTTGGAGCTAAACGTTATCTTGAAAACTGTAAGCGCCTATCTATCCGTGCCTCTGCATGCACGTTCGTGTGCCCTGTAATTATACTGATAATGGCTGCGCTTGCGTCATAACGGCCCAGCGGAATAGCCCATCATTCAGACGTGTCTGTAGGCGAAAGGTGAATGGACTGCTGCTTTGTGCCACTGTGATTATCTTTACCCTTCGACGCTCGTATTATGGGGGCGAACACCTTCGGGTGTGCAGTTTTAAGGAGAGTAAACTGCCGCTCTTTCGCTGCACTTATGTGCAGGTGTACCATCATGGCACGATGAACCGCGCCGCTAAACAAACAGCGCGTGCACGATTAGGCATTAGTAGCCGTTTTGTGGCTCTTCTTTCGCTCCTTGCACGGGTGCTTAATAACTCGCCCGCATACCTGACCGTCCAGTATTTTTCATCCCATTACTCATTAACCTCATTCGAAAGTAGCATTTAAGCAACGAAGCGTTGACTACGTTTTGGAGTTGCAGTACCTGGAATTTGTAATTAGGCCTGTGATGACGTTGTATACGATTGGCATACCAATGAGTGATGTGTGTGATGCTAAAGCCCCTACTGTAAAAAGGTGACGTGCTGGCTGCAACTAAAATGTATGTTCTGTTCTTCTGATGACTTGTGTGTACGCTGTGTGCTTCGATTGTAGGGCTGTTTTGTGCTTCAAGGGCTGTAAACGTAACGCGTGCCGACGGCGTTCCGTCGGTTGCTTTTTATTTTTTGAATTGACATTACGTTCGCATTTTTTTTTGTTGTTCATATATATAATAGCTCGGATCAAACCTGTGCAGTCATACCGGAAGTTGTGCGCTCGGGGTTGCACGCCAACGGCCCGCCTCGATGGAACACATAATGGCTAAGGTGCTCGGCTGCTGAACCGAAGGTCGCGGGTTCGCTCCCGGTCGTGGCATTTCGATGGAGGCGAAATCGTATATAGAGGCCCGTGTACGGTGTTATGTCAGTGCGCGTCAACGAACACCAGATGGTGCAAATTTCCGGAGCCCTCCACTACGGCGTCTCTCATTATCATGTCGTGGTTTTGGGACCGTAAAAGTTCGTATATTATGAATATGCGCGCCAACGTTTTTTGGCGCGATTGAGTGATCAAAGATTGATAAGAACAAGCCTAGGCGTGCCCACGGGAGGGCTGGTCACCTGGGGGGGGGGGTTCGATGATCTTTCCTCTACGCAGAAAACGATCCGTGCGCACCCCTATGAGAACGAGGGAGGAAATTAAGGGGTACTTCAAGGTTCCCACAAGCTCCTCCTAAAATGTATTTTTTTCTTTTTTTTTCTTGTTCACCTTCATCAGCACAAGCTGCTTGAAGGCCGCCTAGCTCACATACTAGTCATTCATGTTCCTGTTTAACTCCATGGGAACAGGCAAACGACTGTGTTGCTGGATACCTCGCTCCTCCACCCGGCCTTGAACACAGAACATCAACGCCTGCCATGTCGTGAGGTGTAGAACAAAGCAGCCAAAGCGCCCATTCACGACTGAATTTCTTTATTGGGCGAACTTTTGCTCAGTGAAAAAACGAGTCGTATTCGGAGCACTATGACAACGACGAGCGCAGTCGTTGGTCGTCGAAAACATTTTTAATATGAACTACGATCACTGGTCAGACGCGTGGGACATTTCGGCGTAATCGTCGGTGCTTACTTTCCGTAGTCGTGCGTAATCCGATTACTGAAGATTATTTCGCATGCAATGTGTGATAACGTCCGATTTCTTGCGTCGAGCGATGGCGCTGCGACTATAGTTTTCAGCAGGTGAAAAACGCCATACGGAAAAGATAAACGTGCATGCTGGTGACGCTCCTTGCCTTGAGGTGCTGTTGACCGGCCTTACTGCGGTCTCTGCGCAGCTTCCAGTTTTTTTGTTTTTTTAGTCCTTTCTCAACCGCCTCACCGCCGGAGGGTCAGAGTGGCTGGCTAGCCGCATGGCTGCTTCCTCGCTTGGATAAAGAGGCACCGTTTAAACCTGGTTGGGAACGTATAAACGCCAGTTGGAAGCTGGTGTGCATATAGCTCGGCTCCGAGTAGCGCGGCGTTGACTTCCCTTGGCCGGCGGCGTTCACTGATGGCTAGTCAGCGGTGCGTGGGGCCGGTGACTGGTGGGCGAGTATCGGGTAATCGCTTTCACGGACACCGCACGCGCCTCCGTTGTGCCCACGCGATTCCGCTAAATGCATAACTGGTGCCCGGCGGGGATCACTCCTTCCTGTTACGAGGCCACGGCGTCCGGGTGCCGCTCTGGATCGAGGGATGTTGACGACATGACATAAAATTAAAAAAAAAAAAGCTCTGCTGTTTGAAACATGCGGCGAGTACCTGGGGTTGCGAAGATTTCTTCTATAATTTTCTGGGACCGAATATGAATGAATAGGTCAGCAAAGATGTCAAGAATTGCAGTACCATGTAAGCGTATAATACATGTAATCACTTCACTTCGGTCACTTGTGCAGGGGCAGACTTTCCGCATATAGTTTATTCAGTTGTGTTCATGAGTTGTGAAAGGCTCGACAGGGAAGTTACCTTACTGGCACAATTTGCAGTTTATTCGTTTTCGACCTGGTTTTTCCTTATGCTATTTTTCATACGAATTTTTTGGTATGAATGGTTTTGAATATATTGTAGCTCTAGTGCCTGAAGCATTTCGTATTGTTTTTCCAGAGGCAGATTGAAAAGGGCAATGACCTTCTCGAAGAGGTGACCATGACATCTTCAGTCGCCGGCTCAGCCAAGAGCACTCGGGAGCTTGCAGTGTCACTCAAGCATCACCTGGAGTGTTTTACTGAGAAGCTGGAGGACACCCGGGAAAAACTGGAGGACACGTCGCGGTGCTACCTTCTTCTGGACCACGTAAGTTGCAAGGACTTTTGTGCTCACTGCTTCAAAATAGTGCATTCAAAAGATTATGCTTATCGGGTTCATTGTCTTCCATAAACTTTATGCATCTGACTGCAATTTCTCTGATGTCTGCACATAAAACAAACAATGACTTCGAAGCTTTTGGTAGATGGAACATGTTCATTCCATCTACCATATTTGGAATACAATGGAGGGCACTATATATGTGTGTTTATGTGACACCATTGAAACTCCTGAGGATTCACAATTTGTAGTCACAGGCAGATAAATTGTTGAGGCTGTCTTGATTTAATGTGTGAAGTAAATAGTGCTGTGTGTTTAGAAGTGGGACATGCATAATGGGCAAATGCTTCCGTTTTAATGCTAGTTGTTTGGCTGTGTAATGTTTTTTTGTGGGAAGTGTTAAAAAAAAGTCACAGCTTTGCCGCAAAGGCGAAGCAATGAACGCGATAGCAACAGATTGGGAGGTCACGCGAAGAATGGCAAGCAGATTGAAACGTACTCTGCATTTCTCACGCACAAATGACGCACGAAATGTACTCACAAGTACAGATGAATGTGAATAAGCGTCTCAGTTGTTACTTCGCTGTGTCCAAAGAGCGTGCCTTTTTCGCAAAAGGAGACTGTGGAATGAGTGCAGTAACCACTGTGCACCCGGTAGCTACAACAGAATCGTTTCGGTGAAAGGCCAAGGTTCACGATTGTTCCCACTGCGATATAAGCAACAAGCGAGAGCATCCCTTCTCCTCGGGGCAAAGTACGCGTGGGAGATGTGAGCATGAGCCGCCGCTTCTCGTGACGATCTGGTGACGCTCGATTATTGCGCCATCTCGCTGGTAATGCTGAATACATGATGGTAGTTTCCCCCATGGTAGTTCCCCCGAGATGCCCATCACCAGCGGTAACTGGTTGATTGAATGTTGAAAGAGGTGTTTCTTTGTGGCTCAGTGGTTAACGCCTTCCACTGACACTTCAGAGGTCGGAAATCTCGATTCCGTGCGCCGGAGTCTTTTTCTGGATTATTTTTCTTTCTTGTGTTTCTGATATATATATATATATATATATATATATATATATCCTGCGAGTGTCTTCTGTGAATCCAGTGATGAATAAAAATTGGCTTGAGCGGACAAACGTGGTGCTCCTACGTTTCGGCCGGGGTCCGGCTTTCGTCAAGGAATACATTGCAAACATCAACGTGCTGCTTATATACATTGGGGGCCCCCAACACGTGTCTATTTAATATCAAATTTGATATTACAACACGTGTCTATTTGATATTAAATAGACACGTGTTGGGGGCCCCCAATGTATATAAGCAGCACGTTGACGTTTGCAATGTATTCCCTGACGAAGGCCGGACCCCGGCCGAAACCTAGGAGCAATAAACGTTTTCGCACGTTTGTCCGCTCAAGCCAATATATATATATATATATATATATATATATATATATATATACATATATAGTGAATGACGGCGACGCCCACGTTGACGCCGGCGGCTGGTGCAGGCCGAATAATTTATCTGTAAGGTGTCAGAAGCTTTGTTTCACATCGTGCATTATGACTAAGGCAAAAGGTGGTCCTGCAAAGCTGTTGAACTAACTGAATATGCTCAAATTTTGTTGTTGAAATAATCTGATGAGGGCTATTTATAAGCAAGTGCTGTTGCCTTTTGCCATGCAAAATCTCAGAGGCTTGTTCACTGAGGCTTGTCTGATCTTATGAGCATGCAAGAGACACTTTGTACATTAGCACTTCCCAAACTATGGTCTGTTTTGACCTGTGTGTGAAAAAACAACACAAAATCAGCAGCTCCAGAAATTCTGGTTTTTGCAGAAAATGCATGCTTTTGCCTTTGCAGCATGCAATGTTGGGCTGTCACCAATAAACTTTTATGAAGCTTTAGCAAGTAATGCTCTTTATTAATAAAGTTTGAGCTAGTTACTGCAAGGCCAATGCTTAACATTATTGTTTTAAAAATAGTCATTTTCTTGCAAAACAGTAGACTGTTATAATGCTTCCTGAAGACTAGGATGGTCTTTAGGGGGGTGCATAAATGCAATAACTAGTGTTGTTTTTATTTCCACCTCTAGAGCTATGAATGGGCTCTGGATGCCATGAAATTTGTGTCAAGCATGAAAATGGATACTGCCTCTACTCCTGAAAGTATGACACAGCTCATGAGGCTTCTGCAAGACTATCAAGAAGAGCATCCTGCACCTTCGGAGCAGAATTTCAGCGAGATGCTGGACTTGTCGTCTAAGTTGGATAATCCCAAGCTTGTGGAGCAGTGCAAGGTTCGTGATTATACAGCTCAATTGTGATTTGCCATTTTCGGCATAATATGCAGCAACACTATGTCAACTAACTTACAAATTCGTTTTGCATACTGGTTTTTGACATTACTGTATTGATGAATGGAGGCCATCACAAGATGTCACAACAGAAGTGTTAGTGAAAGCAGCTGTGTCAATGTAAAAAGTAAACACTCTCACAACTGCTGCCAAACCTTGATAGACATCTTTTTGTTTTTGATGTTGTCTGGTGAACCGGTTTAAGCTTGTCACATGCTGTTATCATCTTTGAGGGGGTCAGATAGGTGTGGTCAACCTCTCCTTTCTAATGGCAGCACCTTGAAATGCAAAGCGCACTTGCTGAGGTTGAGAGAGACAAGAGATTTATTATTGTCAAATGCACAGCTTTCTTGAGCTGTGGTGTTAGGCTTTAGTGCAGGATAGTCAAATATGAAGACATTGGTATAGTCTTCCAGGAAATGGTTGTCTTTTTATTTTGTTTTTATATTGTGCTGGTGCTAGCTCAATCTATTCTTCAGGAGAAGAGGAGCTCTCATCAGCAGTCAGCATTTTCAGCAAGTCTTCCGTCAAGCATCGACTGAGCTGCTTAGCTTCAGTAATTGGTTGACAGCGTGTATTCAGTGTGACATGGCTGATACATTTTAGCAATGCACCTGTCTTTTATTGCTCTTAGGTAGAATGTTTAAAATGGTTTCTAAGTGCAAGAGCAGGCCTTGACATGGGCCATAGATTGCTGCCCAGAATCTGTTCCTAGACTATCATGAAAGGTTCATTTCGATTTTAGCGAACACTCCAGAAGTTTTCAGCTATCTTAAAGGGACCGACAACCAATTTTTGTGGTGCCATTTTTTTTAGCGGAACAGAAACCTTGCCAGTCAGCGAGTCTAATCACGGAGAATGGCCAAGGGGAAAACGTTGCAAAACTTTTGTAATCAGAATATCTTATCTACAGTGAATATGAAGTCATCTACTCGCATGCTGCAAACAGTGACCACGAGAGTGGTTCGTGTTCGAGCGTGGGGATAATACTGCGCATATATGCACTCCGGGCACATGCGCCACGGCTCGAGTTGGTCCACTGGGGGCCACGATGGCAGCGCCGCTTCTCACCATGCAACTCCTCTTACGCCGTAAGCAGCGCAGAGTTGAGTGGGGCTGGATAATAATATACATACTCTAATTTTTAGGACTGGCGTGCTTGACAGCATCGTGCTATACGACTATGTACAGAAAAGTGATTGACTCCACATTTCATAATCCAGCTTCAATTCTCTTCCACAAGGCTGCATCACATGATATTTTTTGTTACATTTAAGTATTATTATAAATATAAATCCTACTCTCAATGCCAAAAAAAAAAATGCTGGAATCTTGTGACTATATGTCACAGTCTTTTCATTTTTAATACGATTTAATCCCACCTTATGGCCAGTTGTCAGTTCCTTTAATTAAAAAGGTTGTGCCCTGGATTCATAGCTGCATGTATATTAATACAATCTCTCTCCTTTAGCATGAAATGGCATGGACTATAGCAAAATGAAACGAATGGCAAGATAGAGCTGTTTGTCCTTACTTGTGCAATGCACCGCTTGTACTACTACAATCATCAGGAATCAGACTACTTGTACTAGTATTTAATAACGTTAAAATGTATTTGAACAGATTAGTAAAAAAAATGGCATAGCATTTTATTTGGCCTATATTGAGAGGTGTCTGTAATATCCTGAATTTCCTTACTTTACAAGAAAGAGTGAAAATTGGTTCGTATCGGTTTGCTTATGAATAAAAAAAATTCTCACATTTGTGAGCAGAGCACATTATGTAATAATGATGTGCATGTATACCGATCTTCATATATTAAAGTTTAATTGTAATCTGAGTTTTGAGAATGGTGCAAAACTGAAATGGCTCATGGGGCATGCTATTTTGTTGTAGGTCTTAGTTTAGCAAGACGGTCCTATATTGATGGCAGAGGTATCTTGGAATTTAGTCAATTATTTGTTTTTTTGGCCACTTTCTCAGCATACTTTCTTTCTGATGCAGACTGCCCAAGCCAGGTGTCGTGAAACGGCTGAGCTGATGGAAGCGCGCCACGCGACATTGCTGCGAGCTCGCCAGCAGCTGGAGCTAGAAGGTCGCAAATCGCCGTCCCTAACTGCTAGCTTCCGTTCGTCAGCTATGGATGGGTGCAGCCTCTTTCCTCAAAATAGTTGGACTCCTGGCTCGACCAGTACACCGTACTGCTCATTTGTGCGGCGCCGCTCTATTGCCACTACTCAACCCCATCTGTACTCAACTCCACCTCCCATGAACTCTTACACAGCATTCCCAGCATCTGGAGGCTCTTCAGCGGTGCCAGACTCCTTCGCCCTCGATCAGTACATCCAAGAGAAGGAAGAGCAGCTCCTCAGCCAGGGCCTCATTACTGATGACCTGACACGAAGGTATGTTTGCAAATTTCTGAAAATGAGGAATGAAAACAATGAAAACAGTAGAGACTTCGTGAATCTTGTTTACAATGCAGGGGCTACCGAATAATAACAGCAAAGAACTACTGTTATGAGAGAAACTGTGCGAAAAATATAAAGAGAGGAACAAACAATACCAGTGTGTATTAACAACTGAAATTTTCTTTAAAAAGCCTGAAATGTAGAAGGCAATAAAGCCATTCGTGCAAGATTAATTAATACATGCAAGATTAAGGAACAGAAAGAAACTACGTGTGCAAAATATAAGAGGCAATAAAACCATGTGCGTAAGATTAAACAGTAGAAAGGAGCTATATGTGCACCTCAAGATAACCAATCTCTGCTTTTTGTAATGCCACAGAGGGCTTGGCAACACAGCTATCTCTGACTTTGAAAATAAGTAAGCTTCGACAATCTTGCATATAGCATGTTTCTTGTGCCGTGCAAGAACTTTTGTTGTTTGGAAAACCTGGCTGCACTTACAATCACGACAGTGTAATGACAGGTTCACTGAAGGCTGTCATTTCATTGATAATCTAATCTCTTATCGACACAGCGGCCGGTCTTCTCAATATAACTCTTTCCACAACTGTTTCCAACACACCCAGCTGCCCGTTGTTCTAAAGAATTTCTGTATTTTTATTCACCATTAATATGCTGAGTGTAGCATCATGATGGAACAGTGTTCAGTTGCAGCTATAGACAAGAGTTCTCCGAGAAGTTGCTTGTACACTTGTGTAGGCATAAGATTTATGTAGGTACACGATTCATGAATTCGGAATATATACCAAGAGATTCGAAGTGTGGCAGAGGGCAGCAAATGGTTTTGTGTAGCGATGACATTAATTTGGAGCCATAATATGGAATCGGCTCGCACAGGACAGGATGGGTTGGAGGTCATTAGGAGATGTGCATGTCCTGTGGTGGACTTAAGGCCAGCTGATGGTGACAGGTCCAAAATTACCCGAAGAAGGTAGGATCAAAGCAAGTCCGCGGCCGCTGCATTTTGGGTGGAGTCAAAAATGCTTGAGGCACCTGTACTTACATTAAGGTGCATGTTAACATTTAGGTGCATGTTGAAGAACACCAGGTGGTCAAAATTTCCGGAACGGTGTGCTATGCCATCCCTCATAATCATTGAGTTTAGGACTTCAAACCCCAACAATTATTATTATTATTATTATTATTATTATTATTATTATTATTATTATTATTATTATTATCAGGTTCAATCATTATATTTTGTGTCAGTATTGTCAACATGTCGTGATGATGAGAAGGTCACATGCAGTTTGTTTCACAGTGTTGTTGGGATGGTTACCAAGTGTATTGAGTTTCGAAATTTAGAAAAACTTTTTTTGCAGTTTTGTGTGCACATTTTTGTTATTAAGTGGCAGCTGCCATTGTAGCTACAACTTTTATAGCAGTGTTCACATGATACAGATCAACTGCCAGTGGCCACATGTTCTTGTTTCGTCTTATTCATGCTTTTTTTATAATTTCTTCACTAAAACAGCCAATTCTTTGACTGTGGTATTTGTATGATTGTAATTAAGGATAGGAAGGATCTTTTGGCTTTTCTTCATCACATTTACAGCAAATTCTACAGGTACTCTCTTTACAGCATAGTTGTGTACTAAACAGTGCTACTTCTTTTGTGTAGGATTCTCATAACTAGATTGGCTCCAGAATAATTCTTATCAAGCGATTTCTTGTTATTTCAGAATCAGGAAAGATGCCTGCATGACTTGTATGCAGTCAGAGTACACTGAAAGTAATATATGCATCTGTTATTTTTCTGTACAGCTCACATTAATAAATAACATACAGTGCTGGTGTTAACATGCAGTGCTGTTGTTTCTTCAAAGCTATATCAGACTAGAGTGTTCAGGTATGTGTTTGAAGTAGCAGGTAATAATGATAATTTAGAATGAACAAATGCCTTAATTGCCCTACCGTGGTGGTCTAGTGGCTAAGGTACTTGACTGCTGACCGGCAGGTCGCGGGATCGAATCCTGGCTCGGATGCTGTAGGCCCGTGTGCTCAGATTTGGGTGCACATTGAAGAACACCAAGTGGTCGAAATTTGCGGACCCCTCCACTACAATGTCTCTCATAATCGTATGGTGGTTTTGGGGATGTTAAACCCCACATATCGATCGACGAATGCCCCAGTTGCTTATTTTTAGGTCACAGCTATATTATAAAGTTGTTGGCAATTATTGAGCACAGCTTATATATTTTGCGAAGTCAAAAGTAGTGCAGTGACATCAGAATGTTTGAGTGCTATAGCATGTCTCGGACAATATGTATCCGCATAGGGAGAACTGAAATTTAAGAGGGTGTGAGAAGAGGCTGCAAATAAGTGATGGTTGCACAAAGGCCAAGTTCATTCTGAGGTTTTACCCCCGCCGTGGTGGTCTAGTGGCTAAGGTACTCGGCTGCTGACCCGCAGGTCGCGGGATCGAATCCCGGCTGCGGCGGCTGCATTTCGGATGCAGGCGGAAATGTTGCAGGCCCGTGTGCTCAGATTTGGGTGCACGTTAAAGAACCCCAGGTGGTCAAAATTTCCGGAGCCCTCCACTACGGTGTCTCTCATAATCAGATCATGGTTTTGGGACATTAAACCCCACAAATCAATCATCATTCTGAGGTTTTTGTAAAATGACAATGTAATGAATTTCCAGTAAATAGCTATTCCCCTTGTCAGTTATTTCTGCACTTTTTGCTTTCTTTGCGAGAAGACATAGCTCTGAATAGGATTCATATTAGCAACCACAGTAATTTTCTGAATAGGATTCATATTAGCAACCACAGTAATTTTTTAATATAACACGGTCTGCATAATTAAAAAAATTCAAAAGAAAATGAAGTTTTGGGTAAGTTGCATATTTTTTTCCTAGTAGGAGCGTCCGCTGTATTCATATTTATTGCCATATAATTATACTTGCAAGATCGAGTTTGCTTACCTCACAGAGGTTGAAATTGCAGTAGGCACCCCAGAAGTGATGTTCAGGTTACTTTTTTCTATATATATGAAACAATACGTTTTTTGGCACTCTTCCTGCTTTGTGTTATTGGTAATTATTGATTATGTACGAATGCAGAGAGCTTGCATTTATGGATAGTTGCACTCCCTAATACTATAGTGTAAAAAAAAAATCATGGCGTATTGCCCTGGAGACATTCATCTGAGAAATTTGTTACAAGGTAGTGTGGTGTAATTTTCAGGTGCGCTTTTAAGTGGTTCGCACAAAAGCAACTGGGTGTGTCTGTTTGCAGAGGTCCCGTGACATCCATTTCGCGGAGCTTCCTGGAGTCTCGGAGCAAAGATGGCTGTCCCAGATCTGCAGGGCTGAGTGCGCTGCGGGAAAAAGTGCGCAACTCATTGCACAAGGAAGGCCACCAGTGTCGTCCGCAACGCAAGCTTATGCGGCGCAGCTATACATGGCAGCTTTGTGAGGAAGCACTGAGCCGAGTCAGCGACAGGGTCCGAGCGCAGAATGAACGGTTGGTGTCTGACCGCACAGCCATGTCGGACCTTGAAGGCAGCGATGGACTCGCAAGGTAGAGCAAACTGCCTGGGCACTGTTCCTTCTCATTCAAGTCTCATTCAGAGTGACATTTATTTGTCCCTATTTCTAGGACCCTGCTTTACAAATAGCAGTGAAGCGGAAACTTCTTACCCAGGTCATTCTTCTTATCAATAAAAAAAGGTGTTAAAAAACAGGCAAAGGTAAAAATGCATGAATTGGTGTAAATAAAAAGTTCGTGGTTTCCAAAGTCTTTTTTTTGTGTTTGTGTTAGATTGTGTATTTAGACTAGAATGCAGCCTCTAAGTGTCAAATGAGTCTTTTGAAGGCTAAAAATTTGCTTGGATACTTTCTAAAAGACTGCAGGTGTAATTATGATATGGAAATGAAAACAGCGTAGGTACCGTATTTACTCCCGTAATCCTTGCACTCACATAATTTTCCCACCCCCCACATCGCCCAACAAAAATACGTTTTTCCCCCCTTGAGTAATTATCGCACCCTCGAAAATTGCTGCAATAATGTCATCTGCTGGTTCCAGTCATTGATGATGATAGTGCACACTATCTGGCGCCATCTCTTAAGCATCAAGCATACTATTATTGCACGGAGATTCAATCCAATCCAAGCCAAGCCAAAGCAGCAAGGGCGCGTTGCGGCGTGTTTTGTATGTCACGTTATAGGCTATTATTGCACGGAGATACAATCCAATTCAAGCCAAGCCAAAGCAGCAAGGGCGCGTTGCGGCGTGTTTTGTATGTCACGTTATAGGGTGATACTGAAGCTACATGGCTGCTTTCAAGTTCGAAGTGGTTGATCATGCACTAAATAACGGCAACGGGCCGCCGGTAGGCCCTTCGGAGTCGACGAGTTTTGTGTTCACTACTGGTGACGGCAGCTGAAAGACACCAAGATGCGTTGGGCCTGCTGTGTGCATAAGACTGAGATTGATCGTAAACTTTATTTCTTCAGAAGGAAACTGTGGACGATTCTGTTAAGTGCCATCGGCCCAATACTGACATCCTACGCTTAACTTTTGAGGGCTCCTGTTGAGTGACGAATGCTACCGCTACGCCCGCAACGCCCACAAGCATTCTAATTCTCGACTATTTGCTTGCACTTTTTGTGTCTCAAATAAATCTTGCTTTTTGTTTAACCTGTGCTTTCATTGTTGAGATAAGTTTTAATTAGTACTTATCAAAGCTTGCTGTTAGTTGCTGGTGTGAAAATCCCGAGTTGTGGCCATTTCGTTTACTTTTTCGCTCTGTACGTTCTCGTGGAAAGTTTTCCCCACGTAATTCTCACACCCCCCAACTTTGCATCGGTTTTCCGCCAAATAAATGTGCGAGGATTATGCGAGTAACTATGGTATCTATCTGTAAGCATTACATTGACATACCAATGAAATGCTCTAGAATATATTCTGTAAATACTATTTAGTCGTTTTCTTTTTATTGATACAGTGTTCTGAGAACTGTTAAAGAATGAACAATCACTGTCTGATGCAACTTAGTGAGACAGTGATTGATGCAACTTAGTGCAACTTGATGCAACTTGGTGAGACAGACCCTGCAGTTAATGACCAGGCACATGTATTTAATTGTAGTCTCGCAAGTTTAAAGAAGCCAGTGCTCATGACCTGAAATGAGAGTGAAAGTAGGCATAAGGACAAGCTTTAATATGGTTTCTGATGCATACTCTCGCTTGTTCAATTGTTTCCTTCCATTAAAACAAGTTAGTAGAAAGCATTTGTTGGCTGTGAGTTTCCAGTCAAGGGTGACTACATTGAAATAATTTAAGTAGGCTAGTACATACTGATATCTCATAAGGCAAAAAAAAATTTTTTTTTCCCCATCTCTTTCTTGCACAATATTCCCTATTCCCACTTTATAAAGTTCCATAAGCTCTCCTGAGTCTGAGGAGCTGACCTCACTGGATTCTGAGCAAGCCAAGAATGAAGGGCAGTCAACTGACCTTGGTCGAGGCAGCAGAGTGCCTGTCCCAGTCAACAGTCATCTCTTGACCCGAGCATCTGCTTTGCAGCTAGCTGACTCGGCGATTAGCGATGCCAATTTCAGCGAGGAACAGCTAAGGAACAGGAAGTCAGTGCTGCTGTTCACTTGTGACACCCTCCTTTTTCTTGCTGTTGTGCTTTGTGTTCGTTTTCTCTCTCTGTGCAAACCTTCACTAGACTTTTGCTTTGTGTTTTGTCCTTTTACCAAGTATTGGCTAGGGTTATTCTTCCTTCCATTTGTTAGTTGCACTGGCTATCTCAACTTATCCTTTCTGCTGGCCACCCTATTCTACCCTAACAAGGTTCTCTGTCTCATGCTTGCTACAAATAATTCAGTGCTGTTTGCTTGTTCTCCGTACCAGAAACACTCTTTTTTTATTAAAATGAGAACTACAACTAAGCTATGATCTAACACAAGCTTGAACCACTCTGTAACATTTATACATATGCATGTATGTTACAATATCAATTTGGTTGAAAGAAAACAATGTAAGAAAAAAAAACGGGAAGTTTCCATAGTTCATTTTATTAACTCGGGCTTTTTTTTTACAGCTCATTTCTATAGGTCACCTCATGGATACAAGTGTGCTCCAAAAGACATGAATTGCAGCTTTGCACAGTTCATGTCTTTTGGTGTACACCTTATAGACACTAGCACTGTCATTTTTGCATACATCTAGGTTGTTTTAGATTTTGTGGTTCAGTGACACAAATGCAGTTTTAGTGGACAGCAGATACCCTATTACTCTACGAACAGTGAAGTACAATCTTTGAGTAGATTTTCAGTTGGTTTTAAATGATTCATAGCAGTATGCAGTTCTAGGGAAAAGTGCTTCTACGATTCTGCTTGTTAAACATTTGCTTCGAGTGCAGACTTTTATTTTCTGAAGTTTACAGGGGTGTTAGCCGGATTGCTCAGAGCCCCTTCAATGGTTGGCTTTGAACATGTCATGCTGCCATTGTTCTGAGCTCTAAGGTCTTGTTCTTTTCTGTAATAAAAAAAATGTCTTGCAAAACAATACTATTGTTCTAAATGTTACTGTTATCTCCCAATGACTAAAATATGTGTTTTAAATTTCTTGTCGTACGTATGACTAATGGAAAGACAGATGGCAGCATTTTGTCCTTTTCATTTATTGGTCATTTATTTAATTTTTATTAGCTGATTGTTACTAAATACCAAGAGGTATGCAATGCATCTTTGATAAAGAGAATTAATGCAAGAAAAATTCTGCAATGTTGGTTGGTGTACTTTATCAGTGAAATAATCCATAGTGAATTTTTGCAAATTTTCCGACTGTTTTAGAGAAGTCGAGGAGACGGGAATGCGGTTTCTGTAGAATGTAGACAGGAGGAAGGGGCAGCACCAATATGCATTTGAACGCGAATATGTAAAAGCGCGTTTCAGATTGTATTGTTTTTCAAGTCATAACTGCATGACATAAACAAACTCCCCCCCCCCCCTTTTTTTTTTATTCCAGAACCCTGCTACTTATTATGCGTGAAATGGTACAAACAGAACGGGACTATGTCAAGTCATTGGCATATATTATTGAGGTAAGCAACAATGAGTGTCATGAAGGTGACTGTTATTTCACTTAAAACATGCATGTCTTTCTATATTTTAATTTCATCACATGCCCCCTAGAGCACAATATATAGCAACATCTGAAATATTGGCTGCTGAAGCTCTTTAGCATCCAATTTTTTGGGCTTTATGCTTCTATTGCAGGTCTGAAATGCCATTATTTGAAGCCACAACTGCTGCCATGTTAGTCGCCTTTCAGCCTTTAGCCAGCACTCTCGGATGCCTATTCATTTTTAGCCCTAACAATACCTAAAAGTCAGCTTCGCTGCAAATTAAATCAGCTGGGCAATGAAGGATACCAAGACTGGAGGGGCCACTATCACTGGATACTATATGCTCCTTAATTGTATGCACTGGTGTTCGCCATATTTTGTCAGTAAATCACCTCGAATTACCGATGGTTTAAACATAGTACTATAATGGAGAGCTCATCTCTCAGTTATTCCAATACATTTTAACCATTTTTAACCATGATACGCTTTTTAACTATTGTAGCTACGTTGTAACAATAAGCTCTCTGTTAATGTTAACACGTAGCTGCGATGGTTCCCGAACACAGACTACATACATCAGGAGCCTCAACCACACAGCCGTCTCGCCATTGGCGTGCCTGTACATGACTGTCATCCCACACTTTTCTTTTTGTATTTTCTTAAATAGGTATGTTCAAGAGCTATGCAGATGTGACTGGTGTCAATCATTATTTTTTGTGTGTGTGAGGCACTCGCTCCTGTCGCTACGTGATAAGCACAGAGCAAAAGCTTGTATTTATGTCCAGATTTAAGTGACTCTGAAGGTTACTGTCAAAATGTTTCTTGAGGCTGGGCATCAAATCTCCTTCAGAAAGAAATGACATATGGCAAACAATGACATATTGGAAATGATATATGATAAAGATGTTCTTTCAAATGCCAATTTTAGCTGAAATATTGTACAACCTGCCCCCTTCTCATTTTCACTTTAACCCTCTTTACCATCGTGGCCCATCTAAAACTATAATTTTGCGAGTTTGACCCACTAGTTTAGTTGAGTTTGGGACCCCTGGTCTACACTGAGCCTCGTGTCTTTGCTGACTGCTTCAAAGTGTTTTGTATGCTGTTACCTACTGGTTAGTGAGTGCCGGAATTTCTTCGCATAAAGGGAAGTAAAAAAGAACGCACTCTTTTTTTGGCACAACCCATTTTTCGGACAATTTGGTGCGGTCCCTAGGGAGTATAAAAATTGAATCTAGACTGTACCCAGACGCAACAACTAAGAAGTTGTCCTTTGGAACAGCAAACTTGAAGACCGAGTAGTGGATGACTGTAAGGAGAATCATGTCTCAGTGTATGTAGCTGCTGTTTCATTTGTTGCAGCCTTTAAAAACCACTTTTTGCTGTAAATAATGTTTTTTAACCATGTACATTTCATTTTTCATTTCACTGCAGAATTACATTCCGGAGTTGATGAGGGAAGACATACCCCAAGCCTTGCGGGGCCAACGCAACGTTGTTTTTGGAAACATAGAGAAGATTTACGAGTTTCATAGTCTCTACTTCCTCCAGCAGTTGGAGCAGTGTGAATCGTGCCCCTTCATGGTTGGACAGTGCTTCCTGCAATATGTAAGATCTTAAGAAAAAGCCTGTTTTTATTTATCGTACTCTTACATTGTATAAAGTTTTATTGACATGACATGTCTTGAGCTGTGTAGGAAACTCAACCCAAATGCACTCTGGGGTTTCTATTGAAGTGAGAGCCTGTGCAGTGCCTTGATTAACATAAGGATATTTGAGGGTGTCGCAGGTCCCGTTAATTCGGGAGGCGATCGCCGGGCTAATTCCAAGGGCCGAAGTATCGGCCCCCCGAACCGCACCACGAAAGGGTGGACAATTTAGCAGTGGTCCTATTTGGCGCTCCAGCGGACGCCGGCTGTGGCCCAAAGAACAAGTCAGAGCCGAGAGTTGATAAACAAAACAAAATTATATTCTCAATTATGGCAGATCAAAACGATACACAAGTATGCACACTCGACAATAGTTGAATACAGTATGGCACCAATCAAACAATGTACTACACAGTACAATCAGCCACTCTCGAAACAACGGACACAGACAACAATATGCACTACAATGCAGTCACATGCATCGAACAACCAAGGCACTTAGCGACTAAAGAGTTAGAAAACTTATTCAGTCCAAAGTTCTTGGAACAAAAGTCTGAATGATACTCTTCCGAGAATCACTCACTCAAAGTCCAGCATTGTTGTCGTTCTGCTGCCCCCGAAGTTTCTCTTCCAGGAAACCTCGCGTCTTCACTTGGCCACTCTCCAAGTTTCAAACTTCTTCGCTGGAAACATGTCGGCTTCCCACACGCAGCTGTCTTCGCTCGCTAGCGGTAGACACACACTCTTGCCTGTAGCTCGAGTTTTCACCCCTCAGGTGCAAATCTTCTTCTTCTCCACTTCCTTCTTCTCCTCCTTTGTCACGGAAGGCAAAAGGCTTCGCCCACAAGGCGGTACACCCTACGCACTCTGGCGCATACTTTCTTCTTCTCCTGCTTTGTCACTAAGGACAAAACCTTCACTGACCGACGCAGCAGGATACCCTACGCACTCTGGCGTTAACTTCCTTCTTCTGCTGATCTCCCATCTCGGCTGCTCGATTAAATACCTTCCGCGCGAGATTCCAGAAAGTTCTCATCATTTCGTCAGCGCGATACGCAGCGAAGGCTGGGGAAAGGGGGAGACGGTACGAGGGTTGTCCGCGAAAGATGACGCAACCCTGCATCACCACGCCCCTTTCCTTCGAGAATTTTCTAGGGCTTGCTCGGCCGCCGATGCGAGGAGGTTTCGTTGGCGAGCCTACGCTTCCGAGGGGAGAGGGACGCTCGCCCGGAAAGTATTTGGATGCTTGTTTTCTTTTTTTTTTATTGTTGACCTCTCGGCGCTTCGTTGCGAGAATTTGGTGGCGCACCCTTTTTTGAGCGCTCGTTTTGTGACAGAGGGACACTAAAAAGCGAACAGGTTTTTTTTTGTATTAGTAAATTTCTCTTTCTCAACACCAAAATCGGCAGACTTGCCGCAAAAAGATGCTTGGTCAGTGAGAAAATGCCAGGGGGAAAGCCACTCTGAACTTCCAGTACCAATCGCCATGACATCATAGATTTAGTGGCACCTGTTCCGGTACACGTAGCTTTTAATTTGCAAAAATGAAGCAGCATTGTCCTCTGAGGGTGCCAGGGACTTAACATACCAAATAGCAGGAAATTTTGTGGAGCTGATGTCACCGAAATACAAACAGTACACCTTGAAATCTAAGGTGAACATTTGGCAGAAGTCTGCCTAGTTAGGGTAGGAATGAGGCAATTAGAAAACTCCAACCAAAAATTGTATTCAGAAACCCAATGTTTCGAAGCCAGACCTGCTTCTTCGTGGGGGGTGAGAAAGCAAGAGATGTACAGCGCTTATATACACTTGCTCACCTTGTCAGAGAAGTTCGCCGCCACCCGTCGCAAACCCTGGCAATAGAGGGAGGCAATGTCCCAGTGGAGCGTTTGGTGTTCCCCGCTGTTTGCTGAATGTGCCAGGATTCTAGGAGGGTTCGTCGGCATGTGTTCCTTTCTTTTTCTAGAATCACTGCAGCCTTCGGGTGGACGTGGTGGTCAAACTGCTCGCAGTGTTTTGCTACTGCGCTCTGTTGGTTGTTCAGTTGACGGAGGTCGTTCTTGTGCTGTCGCATTGCTGTTTTCGTGCTGTTGGTGCACATATGTCGCTGTTAAGTGTTAGGCCTAACCTCAGCCCATCAGCAACACGCACAGGTGTGAAGCGATAGGCCTACGGCTTCACGCAAATACAACGACGATGAACAACGCTGCAGGTACAATGTCACCGGCCGCGTCAGCAGCGGCAAGTACAAATCAGACAAAATATAATGTTAAAAAAGACGCACTGCACTCTGCTCCTGTTAGGCCTTGCTGGCACGACTAAGGCGCTGCACGCACTCGCTGCCACTCATTTCACCTTTAGCGAAAAGGCACTCGTCCACAGCATTGCCACTCGCAGCCACTAGGCCTAAGAGTTCATGTTGCTCCCGCCAAAATGAAGCGCCAATGTGGGCGCCGTCTTTGAAGTTCTTTGTTTCTCCATTATAGGAAGCGGGGCAGTCAGCGCACTGGATCGAGTATATGGCACCTTGAGATTTCTCTGTAGGCGCATGATCTTTGGGGTGAGGCATGAAGCTGCCGTTTAGTGGTGGATGGCTTGTCTGGGACATTGACCCCTGCCCTTTTGAGTATGCGAGCTATTGTTTCGCTGGCGCCTGCGAAGTATGGGATTGAATCATGTTGTCGTTGCAGCGATGCAGGTGTCCCATTTCTACTCTTGCGGAGATTTCGGGGAACAAACGCTTTTGTGTAGCTGTTGGCGCTGAAGTCGCTGATTCTATCCCTTTCCTCCTTCAGCCGTTGTGGTGATGAGCAAATCCTTTCAGCCCTCAGAAAAAGGCTTCACACCACAGAAAGCTTGTGACATGTGGGTTGGTTCAAGCTGAAATGGAGGTAGCGTCCTGTGTGGGTGGGTTTTCTGAACACCGAAAAGGTGATAGTGCTAGTGGTTAGAAGAGGAAGAAGGCACCTAATTTCTGCAGCCTGGTAGGAAGCACAGCGCAGCACTGGACCGAAAAGGACAGGTTCTGTTGCTGCCTTCTCACTAGTACATCTAGAAAGGGGAGAGCTGAATGGTTCTTGCTTTCCACTGTGAACTGTATGTCAGGCTCAACAGAGTTTATGTATGCGAGCAAGTTGTCGACCTCGCCAGACTTCAACACACAGAAGCAATCTTTCACATAGCGCACAAAGATCTTGGGGCTGGGGCCAGCAAAACTGTAGGGGTGAACAGCAAAGAGTAGGGGTAAACGTCCCACACAAGCCATCCTTCATTGTCGGCAGCTTCATCCCTCGCCCCAAAGATCACGCTCCTGCAGGGAAATCTCATAGTGTTGTATACCAGATCCAGTGCGCTTACTGCCCCGCTTCTCATATTGGGGAAACAATGAAAGGATGCGACGGCACAAAAATGACCTCTGTCAACTTAACAGCTGACGGAGCGCAGTAACAGAACACTGCGAGCGGTTTGACCAACACATCCACCCAGAGGACGCAGCGATTCTGAAAGATTGATATGTGGGGTTTAACGTCCCAAAACCACTATATGATTATGAGAGACGCCGTAGTGAAGGGCTCCGGAAATTTAGACCACCTGGGGTTCTTTAACGTGCACCCAAATCTGAGCACACGGGCCTACAACATTTCCGCCTCCATCGGAAATGCAGCCGCCACAGCCAGGATTCGAACCCGCGCCCTGCGGGTCAGCAGCCGAGTACCTTAGCCACTAGACCACCGCGGCGGGGCAGCGATTCTGAAAGAAGAAAGATACATATGCCGCTGACTCCTTTTAGAATCCTGACACATTCAGCAGACAGCGGGGAACATCAACTGCTCTACTGAGACATTGCCCTCCCTCTACATCCAAGGTTTGGGATGGGTCGTGTGAAACCTCAAGCATATACAAGTGCCGCACATCTTTAGATTGCTCCCGCCTGAGGAAGAAGCCGGTCTGGCCTCGAAACGTCGGGTTTGTGATTACAATTTTTGGTTGGAGTTTCCTGGTTTCATCACCTTGAAATCTACTATGTCACGTGCAGAGGTTTCGGTGTGAAATTTGAAAGTTAAACTTTTACCTTGATTTTCTTCTGTTAAAGAACATATGATTGTGCAATTAATGGCATTAGAGCTTTTAGAGAACAACACATTAATGTAAACCTATTCTTAGTTTCACTTTAGTGTCCTTTTAGGTGAATAACCTTTCTTGGCTGCCTCATTTTTTTTTTCCAATTGGCAAAGCCGCTTTTAAAATTTTCACTTTTTTGTGCACTCTACTGACGTCATCAGAAATAGAATATATATGTGTACATATAACAAGAAAGGTTTTCCGAACCTTTATGTTGAGAATATGGGTTTTTGACAGCTGCATGAGACTAATGCTCTAAAACGTGTGCAGTTTTTATCAAAATAGTAAGGCCCTTGTTCCCCATGACTACCATGTTGACTGCTTTCTATGCCAAAAGTTTCAATGCCCTTGCAGCTGAAATAAATCATACTCGCCATCAATAGGATTGTTGGGCAGAGTGCTTCAGACAAGTGCAGCCTACTTGTGGATGGTATATGTAACGAAATACTGCAGTTACCCGTATGCTCTTGATGAAGGCGATCTCTTTCGTGGTTCTTGGCTAGATACATTAAGGCAATTTCTCATGGGCAAATCTGAATTAAGAGAACTGTATCACAGAAAACATATTTTTCGTTTTTATGGCTGTGTTGATAACAAAGCAACTGGACAAGCTGTAGCTTCTGTACTACTAAATATTGATTGGCTAGACTGGGCATATGGTGATGCCACATTTTGTACATTTTATAATCTAACCTATTTAGATTCCTAAAGTATTGGCTTTTGTTGTGCCCACAGAAACAGTTTTCTGTGTTTGCAGATTTTCAGTTTTGTTTCTTAAATACTTTTACGGATACCTTTAGTCCTGTTTCAACTGCTCATGGATACAGAAGTTTGTGTCTGAAGTGCAGGTTAACAAAAGTGCAATGTCACTTTTATACAAAGCAGTTAGGGTCAAGTTGCACACTGCTGCCTTGTGTAGTGCACTGAAGTTTTTATTTTACTTTGAGTACAGTGTATGTAACTACAAGTCATTTTTTAAATACATTGTCAATCGCACACTGTTTGTCTGCCTTTCAGGAGCCTCAGTTTTACCTCTATGCGCTGTACAACAAAAATAAGCCAAAGTCTGATTCTCTTATGTCCGAATATGGAAATGCATTCTTCAAGGTAAGTTTGTTCCTTCAATTGGATTTTGTTCAGACATGCAGCTAATTTCCATTTTTTCTAATACTGTTGCCTCTCTAGTTCGATGCTTATTAGTGTGCATGCTTATGATTTTATGAAAGTTGCAGAAAAACACTTAATTTCACCAGACTGGTTTTGTACAATTGGCTGCGACATATTAGCACAAAAAGCCGACGAACATGAGAAATAAGATGAAAGATGAGCGCTTGTATTTGTCCTCTTTCTTGTGTTTGTCATTTTATTTTTTTGCACTAATGTGTCTCGACAAGTTATGCACTACCGACTATAGCCCTATAATTAAATGGATTCCCCCTCGTGATTTTCAATAAAGCTTCTTCTTGATTGCATGCATTCGCGGTATGGCTTGGGGAGTTATGACCATTGTCGAAGTTTGAACAACTACTTTTATTGGTGTGTGAGGGATGTATAACCTAAAGGGGTGAACAAGTACTGTGTACACTCGACTAAGGGCCGCACTCATGTAAGGGCCGCACTCATGTAAGGGCCGCTACCTTCAACTTGGCAGTCCAAATTTTTTTTGTTAAAAAAAACAATTGCCAGCAAATGGCAATGTAGTCACGTCACGAGAACAGCGCATTTCATGGAAGCCTAGAAATGGCAATAGCAGCCCTGTGATTTCGTCATGTGGGGCTATCTATGAATTATATGTGAGGTCACCGGCATTTCCAATGCCATGATGGCACTGAGGCCAGTTGGATACATGAATGTGCGGATGACCCCAGCAGTGGCCACGAGCCGAACTTGAGCAGCGATACCAATGAAGACATCTAGTAATGATGTCGGCAGCTAGGTGCCACATATTCCATCGTAAGGTATATATTCTTGTGTTGTCTTCGCGGTTCCGGCGCCGACGATGAAGCGTTGAACCGAAGCCCGTTGACGGTGTTGACGGAAACGCCGGAAAGCCACCACACGACGGGGCACAGAGCGCCTAAGGGAACGTCCGTCGCCTCTGAGTGCTCGTCACCAACTCTTTTATTTACACATATCTACATTTGTACAGCGCCCTCAGTGGGGTCGGAGAACCGGTTCCGAAACCATAACCGTAACCGAAACCCCGACACCACATCATCCCCCCCTTGAAATGAAGAGGATGCGGGGTCCTACACGCAGTCAGTGCAAACTAAGAATAAAAATGTACAGTGTACACACAAAAGTAAAAAAACTGCACCAGCAATTAGCGTAAAAAAATGCACAAGACACACAAAATGCAAAAGCAATGCACGCTTGAAAGAATTACCACACCACATCATCCCCTCTTCTGAGTGAGGATGCCTGCATAGTCACCGTCATGTTTGAATGTACGGGGTCGACACCTGTGCCATTTCCACGACAGGTGTCTCATGTGCAGCTGCTATAGCAGTCCGGTGGAACGAGAGAATCGGCCCATGAACATTCCTTACAGTGCACCTTCGGCACAGTAAGGGTCAGAACATGCAGTTAGTGATGAGGCTCCGATGGGTATAGATGGGTGCCATCGATGCAGGAACCGTGTGGAGAGGAGAAACGGGCACGGTCGGGGCAAACACGACCGGCGGAGGCACCTATGCAGCACGCAGAATAGGGACTGCCTCTGGAGGCCTGGCTGTCGCACTCGGCGGATGCATGACCGGCAGATGTAGAGCAGCCACAGTATCCGGGAAGTCATCACTGGTTGTAGGAAGCACAGCCGGAGCGTGAAAAGGAACAGACAAAACGGGAGTAGCTTGCTCAACTGAAGTATTGTCAGGAACAGGCGCTTCAGGAGCACAGGACAGTTCTGCAGAAACTTGTTTACGGAGCAGAAGAGGAAGGTGTCGAAGCTCAGCGGGAACTAGACACACATCAGGTGAATGCACCTATTCATGCACAAAATTGCGCACACAACCCACTTGGGTGAACAGTTGACAGAATTCACTGGGCGACGGAGCAGGAGAAGAAGGTTCAGACGTTGTGTGGTAACCAGTCACATTTAAAATGGTGACCATATTTTCTTGGCCGCTACTCGAAGTAGGCAAAGAGACTACATCTTGAAGTGAAACGGAATTGCCGATGACCTGATAATGTTTGTGCTTGCCACACGCGAGACAAGCGCGGTTTCATGCGGGACATCACGCAAAGCTCGCTAAGTGGCGAACTGATCCTCAATAAAAGCACTAAGCAGTGAGTGACTGTGCAGCAGAATGTTCAAATGAGCTTGGAGCTCGCTGCTGACCCTAAAAAGGCGAAGTGGAACACGCGCACCTTGCATCCTGGTGGCTTACTCGCCCCCGTGAAGTGGAAGGGTGACCATGTTGCCTGCCACGGAAGGACTGTGAAGGCAAACGGTTATGTTGTCCAGCGGGTTGAAGCTGGGAAGAAGGCTAGCAATCTTGGGCTTCCCGCCGAGACGAAGAAAACGGGCTGCCCTGCTGGCAGGACCCACGGGGGGAATGGGCGCCATGAGGCTCCGCAGCGGAAAATTGCTGCACTGAACGCGTAGCGAACTCCTCTAACTGCACATATACAAGTTCATCTTCTCGTGCAATCGAGAGGGCTTCTTAGAGGGTAACGTACAAGCCTTTTTGAAGAAGCCAGCAATGGACGTGATCGGATGCAATGGCAATAAACAGTTGATGTCTGATCATGTCTTTTTCGAGTGCGTCTAAACTGCAAGACATGGCTAGCAACTGGAGACTAGCGATGAAGTCTACAATGGGCTCACCAGGAAGCCGACGACTCTCTTGAAAGCGGAGGCGCGGGACATCACAGGTCGCGTCTTTTGTATGTTCGTCGAATAAGGCGATAGCGGCTTTGAAGACGTTAGACGCCACCGGCGTGTCTGATGCCTTGGCGGAGCTCAGTGTCTGGTAGAGCTTCATTCGGCGTGGCCCAATGCGTCAAGCAAGAGGCCTTTACGCCACTCCAGCTTGCTGGCACCCTCCCCGACAGATTCTGCATATGCTTCGAAAACTTAACGTCCAGTCAGCTCAAGGAATCAGCGGATCCCCGGGCATGGAGAGAAAAAGCGGCAGAGGAAGGGGAGACGCCATCGACGCACAAAACTGGACGCAATTATTGAAAAGAACGAAGAAAAATGCGAAACACCAACACAGAAGAACGTCCGCTGAGTTGAAGGTAAGAACTATGCGACGCGGTCTCTAGGCAGAACAAAGACGAGCGAAGGGGGAAATGCCGAAGTAGCGTCACAGCAAAAATTGGTCAGTGAGGTGGACAGAAGAACGGAATATGAAGGCACAGGATTCTTACTTTAACTCGTCCTCATTAATGTGTTGCCTCTTGGAGGCCCCGGTGCTGACGAAGAAGCGTTGAACTGAAGTCCGCTGACGCTGCTGGCGGGAACGCTGGAAAGCCGCCACAAGACGGGGCCCAGAGCGCCAAAGGGAACGTCCACCTCCACTGAGTGCTCGTCACCAACTCTTTTATTTACATGTAAATACATTTTTACAGCGCCCTATGTGGAGCCAGAGAACCAGTTCCGGAACCAGAACTGGAACCAGAACCCTGACGCCACATATATGACATAATTAATGAGGTTTATTCATGCTTGAATAGAAAATTTCAACAAAAATTTCACCTTTCCGAGGAAGGGCTGCTTCCAATCAAAAATCGCAGAAATGAAGTGTGGCCCCTATACGAGCTACAGTCGAACCCCGCTACAACAAACGCCGCTTCATCGAAATTCCCGCTACAACGAAAAATTCACGATTCCCTTCAGCAGTCCATAGCGAACACTTTTTCTTCTGCCGTCCCGCTTCAACCAAATTTCACGATGCGATTCCAGGCTCAGATATTTATTGCTATACAGTAAACCTAATCTTTAACATTTTGATGCATTTTTAGAACCTGGAAATACGTTGACGAAGTCCAAAACACGCGTTGGCTCCACCAAAAATTACCGCTGTTCAGCAAGCATGGGTGCTGCCATCGCTATCGAGCAATGGCGGCGCTCATGCTTGCTGAACAGCAGTAGTTTCTAGTGGTGCCAACGCGTGTTTTAGATTTTATTGACGTATTCTCAGGTTCTGAAAATGCATCAAAATGTTAAAACATTGGGTTTACTGCATAGCAACAGACGATCTGAAGCTGAAGCTCAGTTGCTTAGTTTGTGGTTTCCTTCGCGCAGCTGCTGGGTGCATCTGCGGTACAATGCCTTTTTTGAATCGAATGCTTATCATTTTGTTCACACTTGGCCAGTGGTGTTAACTAATCAGAGCGGCTGTTCGTCCGCATCATCAACAAAATCAGCTAGCCGCGAGTGATGGACGATAAGAATGACATACAATAAGGCAAAAGTCACCGTTCCACGATACCCTGCTGTTATCTCGGCGATTTGACGGTGGACAGCTTCTGGTGTTAACATGTTAATGCAACTGTTTGGTTCGTTCACGAAAGTGGTTGTAGTCGTTGGTTCAGCTTGTTTTTCACCATGGCCTCGCTATGCATGGGTGAGAATCGCGTTATGATGCTGCTGGGATAAAATAAAAGTCAGCGGACACATATTGAATTTTGAAAATAAATGCTCCTTTGTTTTGCAAGTTCAGATTGGCTATATTTTCTCGATTTCACTGCAACGAAATTTTCGCTTCAATGAAATTTTTCCCGTGCCCCTTCAATTTCGTTATAGTGAGGTTTGACTGTATACAAATTATTTTAGCATAGCAGGACATCGTAACTGAATGACATGTCTATGATTCTTTGAAAGCTGGTCTGTTGCACGCAACCTCTCCAAAAATCTGTGACAAAAGTGTGCGATTGTGTTCTCCAATTCATATTGAGTTTCGGTATGGCATTTTTAAAATGATGGCACTGAGCTTGTAGCTCAATCCCACAATTCAGCTGCATCATCAAGCTGTGTAGAAGTCTGTACAGTGTTTCTGCATGTTACAGCAGCAGTATGAGGAATGTTTTATTCACTACAGCTCAACGGCACATTAGGGCATACATTTATTATCTAAGTAAATATAGCAGGCAGTAAAAAATTGGTATCAGCAGGAGCCAACAGTTCATGTGCACTGAAATGGGTTATTGGTGCAAGCATTAATGCAACAACATGGAACACCTTGGGAGGTAGTCCAGGACTTTGAAGTCTTTCATTTATTAAGGCTATTGAATTTTAGCACTATAAATGTAGCAATCAAGTGGTCACCATTTAAATAGGTGTCTTGTCTCTAAAATGATGCACCCCCCACATTGGCTGTGCATCAAAATTAAATTTTTTGGTTGATAGTGTTTTGAATAAAAAGTTAGAATAAAGTTGCAATGTAGTACTGTTCTACTGGCTGTTAAAATGATGCTTGCCTTCTTCAGCATAAAAAAAAGAAAACACTAAGTTTGTTGTTTTCTTGATGAGTAATCGTATAGGAACTGAAAAAAGCTAAGAATGCACATGGTACTGTGTGTTCAGTGCCTGTCCCTAATAAATCGGTTGACAGTAAACATTGTTTCAAAGTATTACTTTTTCAATCTTCATTACATGTATTTTGTTTAAAGATTGACTTTCCAAAGTTGCTAAAAGATGGACTAGTTCATTTATGCTTCTTCTGATGTGCTTATATTTAGCCACTGCTTGACTTCAAACGTTGGGATCTTGGTGCACAATATTGCACTAGCAATCCAAGCATGAAATTGGTTCATTAAATTTTATCCGCACAGCATATCTAATTTGAAATATTGAGCAAATTTGTGTTTCTGTGTCGGCTGTTTGTTCTATCATAAGCACACTACATGCCAATGGCTTTACATATATAATTTTTAAATTTTTTTTTCTGGCCTGTTGGCAGATTTGAGCTCTTGCCAAATTATCAACTCTGTTAGTGAATTTTCATCATGAGAACTCACTGGCTAAATGACATATGCATGCATTGAAGGAAATAAGTGCCAATTTAAGGGCTGTTTTTTTTACTTAGCTGTAACATAATGATAACAAACAGACAATGATGCCAAGGAAAGCAGGGGGGGTGGTTAATAAAATTAATTGTAATGTGAATGTGAAAAAAGAAGCAGATGAAAAGATAACTTGCCACTGGCAGCAAGTGAACCTGCAACCTATACTTTCCCTTGGCATCATTGTCTATGTGTTCTCATTAATATGTGTGCTTTTACATTTGTTAATGCAGGCAGACAGCGTGAATAGGTTCTTGCTTTATGACTACCTGGTGCCATGTGTGTCCTGCCTATGGTTAGCTGCTCAATCGGTGCCACTTCATAAAATGTCATTGATCGTGGGGAAGTGAGGGTATTATTTACAATGGTCAGCTACTACTGACATCAGCTGGAAATGAGAACCGCTCTAAATGCTGAAGCTTTGCTGGGATTTCTGTTGCACTTGAAGCAGTAGTCAGTTGTCTGGCAGTTGTTGGTGCTTTACAGCACTCGTATCCACTGATGGGCTATCCTTTGTATTTGCAGCTTTACACAGGGCTTGTCTAGTCCTTGAATAATTTATTTTGCTTATTTTTTATGCAGGAAAAGCAGCTGGAGCTTGGAGACAAGATGGACCTTGCCAGCTATTTGCTGAAGCCAGTACAAAGGATGGGCAAGTATGCCCTCCTGTTAAAGCAAATCCTGAAGGAGTGCCCTGAAAGGGAGCCCGAGCATGCCGATTTAAAGGTACCCCTACTCACCTGTTTCTCTGGCAATGCTAAACTGGTTTTATGCGTTTAGTGCTAGCTCTGTAGTGTTAGCTCTGCTATGGTATCTGTGAAATTGGCCAGCATTATCATGATGTTCTGACCAGCTGGATCGGAACGTTGAACCCTGTTTCTTTTTAGACAGGCTTGTTAGCTGCTAGGACTGTGTAACATGTTTACCAGCTTAAATTTGAATTCTACATATGAAGTGGTACATTTGCCACGAATATTTTGACTAATGCTGACCTTTCAGACTTGGGTGCACATTAAAGAACCCCAGCTGGTCAAAATTAATCTGGAGCTCCACCTCTATGGCATGTGTAATAGTCATATTGTGATTTTGGCATGTAGAAGCCTAGTAAATGTTATTAAAAGCTGACCTTTACATACTAGGCTACAATGGGCAGAAACAGTACATCACAGATCTTTTATTGGGCAGTATGGGCCCGGCCAATGCTAATGCTTGTAATGCAGCTAGTACTATTCCCTGTTATGTAAAACTTTAGATGCAAGAAAAACCAACAAAAAACACGACAAAACAACATTGAAGAATGCACACTCACTTGCACACCATCACCATTGAGCATGCCTTCTTATTCGTCCTTAATTTGTGTTTTTGCTGGTTCTTCTTGCAGAAAGCACAAGCCCAGGTTTTCATGCTTATGTCAAACTGTTCCAAGAGGAATATGTTTTGTTCTAACTTAAAATGATGTATGGCACGTGTTGATGGAAAAGGTGTCTTCAATGAAGTTTCTATAGTAATCGGCTAAGTGTTCCCTGCTGATCAATATAGCATACACCGCACACTAGAAGAAGAAACTGTACAATGTCTTGACTCCACACGTGACAAAGCTTTTGCACTGCGTCTTTGTTCTGGCAGTGTTTTCAGGTGTTTCATTCACAATTGAGCAATTGTGGGTCATTTTGTCCTGAGCTGACTTTGAAGCACAACCTTGCACCTTCGTACTTTTGGCCGCAGGACAAGTGCACATATGGTGCCATATACGAAGCTTCCTGTTATGGCTTCTATGTACCTTCCATCTGCACATCACCTGTTTCATGAGGCTTTTCAACATAACCAACTATATTCCTCATAATATATGCTTTCCTTAGAAAAAAATTGTAGGTCACTGTTTGGCTGTGTGTTTAAGCTGTACATTCAGTTTTTCTTTGGCACTGTAAAAAAAAGGGGCTAATCTAGGTACCTACTTTCAGCATGTTTCCTTTATTTTCTTGAGCTTCTCTTGCACTGAACTCTGAAGTCTCTGATGAAACAATTGCATTGCAAATGCTGCACTCTGCTGTTTTACCACATTTTTTAAAACTGCTTTCCAAAACTATACAAATATATAGTGATTGATATGTGGGGTATAACATCCCAAAACCACCATATAATTATGAGAGACGGCATAGTGGAGGGCTCCTGAAATTTGGACCACCTGGGGTTCTTTGACGTGTGCCTAAATCTGAGCACAAGGGCCTACAGCATTGTTGTCTTCAATTTTTAACTGTATATAGTGAAACCTCGTTAATTCGAAGTCACTAGAACTGTGAAAAATCTTTGAATTAAGTGAGCTTTCAAATTAATAGAACATACAAACAAGTGGGATGCAAGGAAATTGGAATTATTCAAAGTATAATCATGGCTGATCGTTTGCTGTGCTGGCTAATTTGCAGCTCGAACGGTTATGTTTCCCAGCAACCCAAGTTCACAGTTTTGCTGCAAACAAGGAGGAACCCCGGGCCTCGCTGCTGCAATCGCAAACAAGAAAAAAAAACGTGATAACTGAAATGCGCGCCTGTAAAAATAAGACATCTTCATAGCAACACAGTATAGTGACACGCGGGCAGCGTGTCACCTGCTTTTTGCTGCATCAGCACGTCATGGTTTGATCATTCGCACGTTCTTTCTAGTAAAATAAAGATTTTAATAATAGACGTTTCGACGAAATGATAATTGAAGCTTCCAAACTGAGTTTCTGAAGTAGGCATAGCAGGCAAAAACTCCACCAGAAGTGCGAATGGGCAAATTGCTGGAGCTACTGGCGCTCGGAGGTTTGCATACATCATGAATTTTCTTATATTCCCCCCAAAAATGGGTTAGTTACGACACCTTGACATTGCGAGAAGCATGCGACATGCTGCATGTGTGTCACTGCCGTGTTGCACGTCTTGTTCTCTGCAGGCGCACATTTCAGCGAATCACTGAAACCATTTTTTTTTACAATTTTATTTTTCTTGTTAGAAGTATCGAGGCTGGAGCAGTTCAGTTGCCACTTAGTAGTATCGCTACAGTACATTGTCTAGTGGCTCTTAAGGGCTGTCGTTTCCACGTTCTTGCGGTGAAATCGGGATCAGGAATTGGTACACTGCACCCAATGTTTTCGAATTAATCGACTGGTGGTGACCGCCACTTCAAATTATCCGCTCAAACTTGCATTACAAAATACGAAACAGCTGAAATACTTTGAATTAAGTGGAATTTTGAAATAATCGAGTTCTAATTAATGAGGTTTTACTGTCACACGCACGCACACGCGCGCCCACCCACCCACCCACCATCAGACAGATCACGCATCAGACATATTGGTGCACTTGCAAGCACCGCGCAACGAACCAGATCAGTGCGATGAACTAACACCACCTTTTCGTAACCTCGCGCCAAAGGGGATCGGAACTTGTCAGAACGTGGCCGAAAATTTACCAATATTTGCTAAAAAAATGCACCTTCTGGGCTTCAGCGCGGCGCAGCGTTCCATATAGAGGATAACCTGCTTTGCGGTAGTTAGATATATGGGTGCACTAGTCCCATACTTTTGCATGGGAAATTCAAGGGGATTTCTTAACTGCTTGATATAGCCAATGATTCGATATATCCGAGTTTGATATAACCGGGACCAACTTTATGTATATCTATATCTTGGAATGATAATGGTCGGTGACTTGTCGTGTGCCTCTTGTTTTAGGATTCGTTGGGTTGTCTTTTACAGGCTGCTGAGGAGATGGTTCGCTTCCAGCTTCGCCATGGTAATGACCTGCTTGGCATGGATGCACTTCGTGAATGTGATGTAAGTTGGTTCTTGCTTCTAAGCTTGCAAGAAGGTTATGTGAACTTAAAATTTAAATGGCAAGAATAATAGCTATAAGCTGTCAAATATTGCTCTTCCAAAGTCATTAGGATAGACAACTTTCTTACAATGACATATAAATGTAGATGAAGGCCATTTGGTTGTGCAGTAAAACCTCGTTAATTTTAAGTCACTGGGGCCGCGAGAAAGCTTCGAAATAAGTGGGTTTTTGAATTAACAAAACACACAAAAAGTGGGTTGCAAGGAACTTGGAACTATTCAAAGTAATCGGTGCTCGTCGTTTGCTGTGCCGGCTAGCTTGTGGCTCCAAAGGTTATGTTTTTCAGCAATACCTGGTCTTTATTTTGCCACGAACATGGAGGAACGATAGGCCTCGCTGCTGCCACTGAAAAAAAAGAAAAACACAATGTGGTCATGACTGAAATGTGCACCTGAAGAAAACAAGATATCTTCAAAGCAACACAGTAGTGACACGTGGGCAGCATGTCGCCTGCTCCTCTCTGCGACAGCACGTCATGATGCGACCGTTTGCACATTCTTTCTATTATAATCATGAATTTAATAATGGCCAGTATGATGAAGCTCACAATGTGTTTTGGCTGGAAAAAATTATCTTTGAAACTTTCGAACTTAGTTTTCGAAGTAGGTGTTACTGGCAAGAACTCCACCAGCAGTGCAAAGGCGCAAATTGCTGGAGCGACCGGCAATCGGAAGTTCACATACATCGCGATTTCCGCTAAACTGCTCTTTATCAATTTCTTTACAATCCCAGAAAGAATGGGTAAACCATGACCCGCTGACGTTTCGAAAAACGTCATAAGCTGCCCGCGTGTCATTACTGGGTTGTAGTGAAGCTGCTCATTTTCCACAGGTGCATATTTTGGTTGACCACGAGACCATTTCTTCTTTATTTTTATTTTTTGTGTTGCAAGTAGCCAGACTGGGGTACTTCAGCTGCCACTCATTAGTATCGATACGTTGCATTGCCTTGTGGCAATTAATGGCCGTCGTTTCCGCGGATTCGCGGCAAAATCTGAATCTGGAACTGGCACATGGCACCCAAAGTTTTTGAATTAACTAATGTGGTGCCGGCCAGCACTTCAAATTATCCACTCAAACTTACATTGCAAAATACGGGACCGCGGAAATCCTTCGAATTAAGTGGGATTTCAAAATAACTGAGTTCAAATTAATGAGGTTTTACTGTATTTACATTCAGGCAAAAACATCTCAAAGGATGTGTATTAAGGATTGTAATAATTTTTGTGCCCGTCTTTTTTTTTTTCAGTGGCTATCACACTGTTTTGAGGCTGCAACTTGTATCTCTTTATAATTTTATTTGAACAAGAGCGACACTAAAGTGGCCCTTGCGCTGATAAGCTTTACAAAATGAAAACACAAGCAGCAGTGCTGAAGAAAATTATTAGCTTGCTCAATGCAACCTTATGGTAAATTTATTGCTTTTTTTTGCTATCATAGCTGTGGTGACTTAATTGCATCAATCTGTTTTATTTTCAGGTGAATGTGAAGGAGCAAGGACGGCTGCTTCGTCAAGATGAGTTTCTTGTCTGGCAGGGGCGTTCTCGCAAGTCTCTACGACATGTGTTTCTTTTTGAAGACCTCATCCTTTTTAGCAAAGTTCGCAGAGATCCCGAGCACAAAGGCCATGACATTTACCAGTACAAACATAGCATCAAGGTGCGTTGCTGCATTTCTTGTTTACTCTTCTGACACAGTGCGTAAACTATAAGTACACTGCCGTTTGGAGGCATAAATGAATTGATTCTTGTTTACTCTTTTGGCACAGGGCATAACCTATAAGTACACTGCCATTTGTAGACATAAATTAATTGATTGCTATGCAGTCTAGCTAGTTCTTTCTAGAATGTCACCATTTAAAAGGTACCACCTACAAAATTTTTCCAACATTTGAAGTAAACAGGTTCATAAAGTTCAGGATATTGCCAGAGCCACCGTATTCTTTATTGCATGCAGCTCGACCTACAAATGAACCCATACTAATCTGTATATTTCATTTTGTTTTTGCTAGATCTGTAGGTTCTGTACTTCACATCTTATTTGGAAAACTAGAATATAAAAAGGGGTGTTGCCTTTTAGTGTCGCTCCGTCTACAATGAGCTTCCTTTTTCGTGTTGCTCTTTAACGTTTAGTTCAGCCTCCATATTTCTTGTGTGCTCCACCTCCTTTATCCTTTCTGTCTCCCACAGATATATGCAGATTTTGTTCTCTTAAGCTGTCAATTTTCTCATAATTCCTGCATTACGGTTCTGCTTCTGGCAAATACTCCTGCTAGGCCTCTAAAAATGATATACTGCTGCATGCATCTCAAGCAATCAATTCGAATTGCTTTGCATTTAAATTGAATGCCTAATGAAAAAAAGAAAGTATGTTTGCTTAATGAATATTATTTTTGTGCTAAGCTCTGCACTAATTTTATAATTTTGGCATGCACAAAAACAAGTTTTTTTTTCTTGATCAATCTTCACTATGCCCGACGTTCATAGCTTGTCATTATTTTTGTTGCTGACATTTGTCTGTATGCTTGTATTAAAAGTGATTCTAAAGTACTATTTTAAAATGCTTATCGTGTTTTGAAAAGAAACTGCTGCAGTACAGTATAACCTCTTAACAACGGATCTGTTTACAATGGACATTCTGATACTCATACTATTTGGCAACGTTATGCCGACCTCCCTATTTGTTCCATTGATTGAGCTTTATTTACCACGAATTCTGGTACAACAGACATTTAGATATAATGACTAAAATGTGAGGCCAGCAAGGTGGTCAGAACTCCTACAAAGTGGATTTTTCTACAACGGACATCCTAAATTTTATAACTTCCAACTTTAAACATCGCTTGGCATACTTTTTGTATGGGAATAGCATCGGGGATAGTGGCGTACTTAAGAACGAAGGCCACCAATCTCTTGTTTTTTAAAAATTAATTGTGCCAAGCTTCGGAGACGAAAAATGAGCATAGCTTTACATGTTGGGCACTGAAGCACAAAATTGCTGGCTCGCTGCAACCGCTGTTCCGAGTGGTCGGTGCCTGACGAGCTTGGAGCTTGGCCGGGGTCTGCTACCGATGCACAAGATGCCTGTTTGTGGCTCTAAGGAGCCAGCGGCAAATGTGATTCGTTGCTTGCAACAAAGCACATTACGGGTTCTTTGCTTTCACATACCTGTTATCGGGACAGTCTTTCTCGCCAAGTTTGGGGCAGAGTCACGCCTAGCCACGACTTCAAGCAGAAGCGCTGCTTTGATGTGCATGGCCGCGGTGCCCGATGTTTCCAAGTACGACATGCTCGATCGCGAGTACAACGAATTATGCCGCGGTGGTTTTCATCACAAGTGCTGAAGTCTTGATAAGCAGACCCTTCCCATCAACGAGTCAACACTGTGGCTGTCGGTTTGAGATGCACTGTGTGACGTTCACGGCCGATCGTAATCGACTGAAGTTGCGCTTGCAGCTGCCTTAACTAAAGTGTAGTTGTATCCTGAATTATCGTCTACCCGCGAACACAGAACAAGTGCGAAAACGTCGCTAAGTAGTGCGATTTTAGACAGCCGCGACCTCACAATGCACAAGAAGCAGACGACGCTATGCCGGAGGCGTATCCCGGAACAAAGATAGGACCAGCGAGGGGTACTGGAGGAACATGGCAGGAGCAGCCGATTGGAGGTCTCAAAATGAATTTCGAGCATCTTTTTTGAACACGGAATCCTCTATATGAAATGCTTTTACAACGAGCCCAAAATGGCGGTGGGCAGTTGTGCCATTGTGAAGCTATACATTTTCATAAGTCACAATTTTTTTGTTTTTTGCAACTTTCACAATCACCAACTCAGCCGGTGCCAAAAACTTTTTACAGCACTTCTACGTAGTTTTCAGCGAAGATATTTTAGAATCGTACAGAAAAAGGGGCACAGAAACTGAAGGTGTCATTTTCTGAAAAAATAAATTTTTTAATGCTTCATTAAGAATAAATCTTACATGACTCAATTCTCTCCGGTTATAATAGATTTATTCAATGTTTCCATAAAAGTATATTGTAACTGTACTTCGATTTTACATACTCCTTTTACAAAGGACTAGGATCCTTTTCACTATGGAGGTCTGTTGTAATGACGTTATACTGTATAGACCATTTAGGACATGTTATCACTTATGCCCCAAAAAGAGGGGTTCTCCTTAAACCTAATTTCTTCTCGTATAAAAAAAAGTTAGTTTTTTTCAGTCATATTTTTATTCACTTTTGCAATCAAAATGTTCTTTTTCAGACAACAGACATTGGCCTCACAGAGCAAATTGGCGAAAGCCCAACCAAGTTTGAAATCTGGTTTCGCAAGCGCAAGTTGAATGATGTGTACCTCCTTCAAGCACCCAACCCCGAAGTGAAACGGGCCTGGGTGCACGACATCTCCAAGCTCCTCTGGAAGCAGGCGCTGCGAAACAGAGGTGTGTTGTCATGGTCTGCTTACACTTCTTGTGATACATTAGAACCTCGTTGATACGTTCTCACTTAATACGAGTTCCCGGCTCCTACACTCCAAATCGGGAAAACTGGAAATGCTCCCATAGAGCTACAGTCGAACCCGGGTATATCGAACTCGCCAAAAAACGTTTATTAGTTCGATATATGGCATAATTCGATATAGGCCCGGTATAGGTTTTGACACAAAGGCACATAACAAACTAGAAGAAAAGTACTTTATTTATATGGTGGCTTACTTGCGTGCCCTACTGTGGAACAAAATAGTCCCGGATTTTTTGCTGTGTCAATGACTTCGCTGCCTGCGACAGCACACACGCCTCCACGTTTTCCAACGAGTCGGAGCAGCTGAGGCCGCAACCTTCCACATTCAAGCAATAGCGCCGGACCAACGCAAGTGCACTAATCACTTCGGAACTTCGGAGGATGTAGGCAATGGGCCGTCGTCAATTTCCATATTGCTGTCGCTTTGGCTCGTGGTCGGCACGACGTCTGCAATGTAATCCTCATCCTGTAATTGGCCCATGATGGTGACATCATCGTTTGCACTGATGAACTCGTCGAATGTCGATCCGTCGATAGCACCCGGGAACTCTGCCAGCTTGTTCCAAACTTTGGTGGAAACACCTGCGGTGTCTTCAGTGCTGTCAGAATTTGGGGTGTCATCACCAAGCATGCGGAGGCCGGCATGCCTAAAGCAGTTCTGGATCGTCTCCTTCTTGACATCTGCCCACGATCTACTCAACATAAAAATAGCTCCGAGCAAGTCGATCTTAAGCTCCCTGCCGACAGGAAGGTTCTGCAGCAGCCTCTCCACCAGGCGCTTCCGACAGCCGGCTTTCATTGCGCGTATAACGCCTTGATCCAGTGGTTGCAGTACAAACGTAGTGTTCGGGGGCGAAAAATGCAGCTCGATGTTGCTGAAGGTCGTACTGCAGTGGTGCGATGAACAATTGTCCACGAGCAGGCACACCTTGCGATTTTCGCCTACCAAATCATCATTCCACGACGATAGCCATCTGCTGAAAAGCTCCCCGGTCATCCACGCTTTTGAGTTTGCTCGGTAGGTAACTGGAAGCGACAGCGCATTTCGAAAACACCGCGGTGCCGTGCTTTTCCCGATAACCAGAGGTCGAAGCTTTTTTGATCCATCTAAATTAGCTGCCAACAGCATGCACACATTAGCTTTGTTTGCCTTGCCGCCGCTTGTCTTGTTGCCACGACACGCAAGTGTCTTGTTTGGCAACATTTGCCAAAATAGAGCGGTTTCATCCGCATTGAAGATATATATATATATATCTTCAATGCTCTATATCTATATCAAGGCTCTATATCTTGCTGCAATATCTCGCCAGTTTTCCTCGAGCCATTTTTCTACACTGTCCAGGTCCGCCGCTCTGCTTTCACCTGTAACAGCTTTGCCAACGATGTCGTGCTCTTCTTTGAACCGCTGAAGCCAGCCTGAACCGCCTTGGAAATCATTCCTGTCAAGCAGAAAAGCAAGGTCCTTGGCTTTCTGCTCGATCATAGGGCTGGACACCGGGATGTTTCGCGACCGAACGTCCACAAACTACTTGTAAACGGCCGCTTCAACATCTTCGTACACAGCAGCGCGCACACGTCGGGCGCCACGGGCACCTGGCCTTTTGTCCGACTTGGCCCTGATGTCTGCCTTGTCCTTCAGGATAGTACTCAAGGTGCTCCTTGGAATTTTGTAAGCGGCGGCGACATCGGACTTTTTTTCACCGCACTCAACCCGATTGATGATTTCGAGTTTCGTGGCGAACGGCTAATTTCGCCTCTTTGTGCAAGCCATGATGACAGCGCGCCAATACAGTTCACAGAGCACCAACAGGCAACACCACAGACCACGCTGAATCGGCAGCAGCAGGCACACAAGCATAAAGAAAGAAAAAATGGCGCTCACTTCTACCGCCTCTGTGCCTCGGAGAAAGCACAACGGCCTCTGATTGGCTGTAAGCGCTGCAAGCGGGCCAGGATAATTTTTTGTAGGGGGGTGTTCGCCCGCGCACAACCGGGTCTAACCAACTTTTTCTAGGGTGGCGCCGGCAGTTTTGCCCGCCACCGCAAGGGAAAGCCAACTTGCTGGGGCTCTTTTGAGGCACATGGAGTTTGATATATCAGTTGTCGTTGCTATTTTCGTTCGATAAAACAGTAACTTTTGTTATATATTCTCAATGTAAACTTACCGTGTTTAAAAATTGTTCGATATACGGGATAATTTGATATAAACGGGTTCGATATAGTTGGGCTCGACTGTATGTGTTAATGCTTTCCGCCTGTTCCCAGAAAATACGACTGTTCGGCAGCAACGTTCAGCATTGCGCCAGCTGCTCGTATGATACATTCTGCGGGCAAAAGTTCTCATTCACATGTAAAAAAAAACTGCTCTTCATGTGTTTGTGAAGGGCCAAGATGCCGACTGCTGCCGCACGGCAATGCCGATTTCTTTGTGCGAACGCACGCACACGCACGCACGCACGTGCACACACACACACACACACACACACACACACACAGAGAGACAGAGAGAGAGACCCATTGGAGCCTTCAGTCTTCAAACAGTTTAAAAAAAATGCCTGTTATTTTGTGCAGCACAGTGGTTTTCTTTCTCAGCTGGCACCTTGGCAAAAAATTTAGCGATACCATATTAACTCTCATAATCCTCGCACTTTTTTTCGTGGAAGACTGACGACAAGTTAAGGGGTAGGAAGGCATAGGAAACGAAAAAAAAAAAGCGAAGTGGCTGCATATTGGGATTCTCACGCTGGCAACTAACGCTTTGAGAAGCACTAATCAAGACTTACCTGAACAATAAAATTACAGGTTCAACACAAGACAAGATTTACTTGAGGCACAAAAGAGTTTTCGAATATCGTACACAAAGCTTGCAGGCGTAGCATTAGCGGGCAGATGGCGATCTAACACAGAATCGTCCGCAGTTACTTTCTGTTAAACTTTTACCATTCAAAGTACACGGAAGGCCTAGCGTGTCTTGGTGGCTTTCAGCTGCCCGTGCTGCCATCACCAGTAGCAAACACAAAACTCGTAAACTCCGAAGTGCTTACTGGAAGCCCTGTTGCTGTTGTTTAGTGTATGATGAATCACTTTCAACTTGAAAGCAGCCGTGTAGCTTCTGTATCTCCCCATAACATAACCACAGCATGGACACAACGAACTAACACGCCGCAACGCTTACTTGCTGCTTTGGCTTGGATTGGATTGGCACTTTTTTGCTTGCATGTCGTGTGGTGATGACCCCTGGGAACCATGCCAAGAACTTATCGCTTCTCGATTTGATGCGTTACTTGAGCACTTATTGGGACAGTGTGATGAGTGAAAAAGTTAGCACCTGCTTCAGAAAGAGCGGTTTTCAGCGACAGTTTGCATGGGAGGGTACCGAGCGCATCGAACACAACCCTGGGCATGCACATTTGACATCGACAATGACATCGATGAGGAGTTCCTCTCCACTGGCGCTGATGTGCCATTTGCCGAGTTCGTCTCGATAGATGACAATGTTCTGACTTGCGAGCCGCTAAGTGTCACCGAGATTGTCGCGGAGGTGGTGTTGGGCGACGCAGTGAAGGAAGTGGGAAATGAGGCACCGGAACACAATGGAGAAAATTAAAGCGTGCCGACCTTGGCTTCGGTTAACTTCGCCGAAGCCCCTGCTGGACTGAAAGCTTTACAAAGCTTCTTTTGCGTGAAAAACAATTAAAAAGTGGACAAGGGTCTACAATGTGTGTGAAAGCAGCTTTTCTTTTGCAAAGGTGAGAGGCAGCGGCAGAAATAAATGCTTTTTACCCTTACACCTCTATTTGGACTTGTCAGCCTGAATTATTGCTAGATTTGGATCGTACGTTTTCACGGATCATATGTTCATCTTCCGCTTTTTTTTTTTTGAAAACGTATCAACGAGGTTTTACTAGTCGAATGATTCTCAGATTTGCTAGGCAGATTGTAGAATGGGTTATTTTCACGTTTGTTATTGTTATTTTCTGTAAAATGGTGTTGCTAATGTTAAGTCTGAGAAACAATGTACGTTGAACTTTGAGTAGAAGGTTTCTGGAGCATGTTTTCACCTCTCATAAATGTGAGCAGGGTTGTACAGTTAAATCTTGATGTAATGAACTCCAGTGTAACGAAATTTCTTATATAATAAAGTGTTTTACTTTGTAACTTCATCTATGGAGCATCATTTATTTACTTCACTTAAGCAAGCATGCTTATTTGCGTTTTCAATATTACAGCATTTAGTTACATTTGTGCTGAGCATGTGCTCAGCATGCTTCACATCAGTGCCAAATTGGATGTTTTTTTTATTTGTTTGTTTCTCAAATATATTAGTTTTTTTTCGTGTAGCCACGTTATTTGGGCGCTTCTTGTAGTACTGTTCAGATAAAAATAGAAACTGCAGTAACAATGTTTGCATAGAAGGCTAATGTTTTAATATATTATTGTTTCATTATAATGAAGTAAGTTACCAGTTTTAGACTACATAATATAGAGGTTCAACTGCATATTTTTGTGCTCACTGAATACTAGTGCATGCTACAAATTCCCTTTAAATATATTGCGAAGTCAAATTATCAGTTGGTAATATTTGTAACGTTCAGAACAATTGGCCTTGATGCAGTGCATTTACTTGGGAAAATATGATATATTTTACACAGTTATCAACTAAGTTGAGCGATCTTTTGACGAACCTAAGCGTGACACGGCATTTGTTCGCTGTATCCCTATATACATAGTGATGAAACACAGGTTTAAGAAATGTGGCAATTGAGAACGCACATTTTTTCCCCAAAAAAAGTCCGTGATGCACGTGTTTTGAAGAGACGGGATAAGGATGATCTCGAGTTTACTTGAAGCAGTGACGAGCTCTGAAGCCCGTGGCACATACAAGATGCCTGATGCTGTTAATCGGGTCAATTGCTACAAGCATGCTTGTGGGCACTGGCTCCAAAGTTTCATCGTCCTCGCGATTTGATTCCTCTAAATCGCTCTTGCCCGTGCACTTCATTCACGATTCCCTCATCCATGCACGGTTCCACAGTGTCAGCCTCATTATCAGTCGTAATGAAATCATCACAACACATGTCCCGCACGCCCTCTCATGTCCAAGTCGAAGATGCGCTGCCACGAATCGGCGCAAGTGTGGTCCTGTCCGGAAGCTTCGGGCTCAGCATCGGATCCAACGTTGACGAAGTCAGCCTTGCGAAAACAGCTTCGCACACATGTAGCCGTCACTGCTGCCCAAGAAGCCTTCACGATCTCCACAGCTGAATACAGGGACACCCGAAGCGACAAAATGGCTGCCAGGTGGTCAACAGATATGAACAAGCGCTCCACAATGCAGCACCTGTAAAAAAAGCGCAGATTATGCCCAAGCCAAACAGTCACACTTCCGATGTTTTGTTGAGCGGCAGAGAAAACAAAGGGCAGAATGCCTTTCTTCCGCCATCCTAACCACACATGTACACCAACGACGAGCAAGACGCACATGTGCGACAAATTCAGCACTCATGGAACAGCTCTGGGCCCGTTTTTAGTCGGAAAATGAAACTCCTGAATCCAGGCCTACGTGGCTGGTGTCGCGGAGCGATGGAGATGGGTGAAGAAGTTGTGATATAGAGAAGAGCAGACTTGCGAGATATATGCGAAGGAATTCTGATAGAGAGAAGAGCTGACTTGCGAGATATATGCGAAGGAGTTGTGATAGAGTGAGGAGAGGAGAGAATATGGCGGGAAGGCAACTTGGAAAACCAAAACACGTGGGAAAAAGGCAGGTCAGGTAGCTTACTTGCAAGGCCCACGAAACGCACAGCTCACACGTAGGAAAACTTGGGAGAGCGGTCTGCGTGTGCAGAGGTCGGGAAGAGTGACAACTAGAAGGCTGCAGAGGCAGGGTCAGAGTTTGACAATAAAAATCTATAAGTACCTCACTGATGGCTTATCGTGGTCGAAAGTGGTTTCCCAAGAAGTCACCCGAGCGCCGACTCCATTCGTTGTAACTGATCGGCGACACTCATAGTCGTTTGTTGTAAGTACGATTTTGTGCCATTGAAATAACGTATATTTCCATGGTCATGCAGGTATCGTTCATTTTAAGTGGAAGTTCATTTTAAGTGGAAGTTCATTTTAAGTGGGGCTGTCATATGTGGGCTCGGCTGTACTATAAAATGGTCCGAGATACTGACGTGGCTTTGCCATGCTTGCTTATCCTTGCTTAAGTCGCAGTGCAAAAGACATGGGTAGTGCTTCTAGAACAATGGTATTTTATGTAACTGATAGCTTACATTAGCATGAAACATACTACGACTACATTTGCTACTGCTTTCCTGTTCATCAAGACACTTGAATGACTACTGACGACCATTCGAACATTTACGTTCTTATATTTCAACATGCTAATTATTCTGGTGATTTTTAATGGTTATGTTTGGAGCAACAACATTAAATGTTGCTGCAGTGTCAATTGCATCAGGGATGACTCTTTTGTTCCTTTTACTTTCAGAGATGCGCCTTGCAGAGATGTCGTCCATGGGTATTGGAAACAAACCTTGCCTTGATATTCGTCCTAGCAGTGACCAAATCAACGACCGCTCCATCACTTTCCAGCAGCTTAGCCGAAGTATGTAAAAGTAATTGTAGTTTGTTTATGTTCATTAATGTCATATCTTGTTTGTTTATTTCCAAGTTCTCACTTTTTTTTAAATTCACTTCGCTGATTTTAGCTGTAACTTTCGTGGTTGGATTGCTGAGTAGGCTTTTAGCTTAGTCAACTCAGGCTACTAGAACAGAGCCTGTGTGTGTGATAAAAAGTATCATGGTTTGGAAAAAGCACTTTTGTTGGGAGGAGCATTTTTTTGTAGATTTTGGCTTTTTTGTAACATGAAAGATTTTATTCAATCATATTTGCTAGAAGTGGAACTTTTTAATAATGCATTCACACTTAGTAGTTTTGATATAACTGTTCCTCAAAGTATCCAAATTCCACAAAAACATTCTAGTATTTCATTCATTAAAAGTTCAGTGACTCCACTTATCTTGGTTATTCTTTAGTGAGGGAAGAAGAAAACTTCAGGTATATTTCCTAAATAACTGTTTGTAATTGTGAAGCATTTTATATAAAGAGAGAGAGTTATAGTATATAGTGTAAGCATATTTTGTTACATTGCTGTAAGAGAAGCTAGTGAACAATAACAAACAGTTGTAACTAGTCAGCATAAGCAGTGCTGATATATTTTAGTTTTGTAAATCTGTAACTTTCTGTATTCCGGGGCCTCTCTCTCACTTCTTGAAGTTTCAAATGACCTCTTTATTAGAGGTTTTTGTCTTTTCAAACTTAAATAATGTTCTAGAATATACTTCATTTTGAATGTAATTTTATGTAGCAGTCCCCATTCACACAAAAGGTCTTATTCCCACTTTGAGTTTGGAAAGTTTTTTTCCCTTTCTTTGTAGATTGAAAAAAAATAAGAGAAAACTTTTGTTATATAAATGCATCTCAGTAAAGAGACGGCTCACTATTGAATGTGTTGGATAGTCGCCAGCCTCCTTTGAAAAGTCTATTTTATAAGCCACGTCAGTCAATGCGACATGTTCACAGGTTCATGTCCTGTCTTTAGTGACTGCAAGTAAATATAGACAATTGACTGTATACATGTACAGTAATTTAAATACACATTTGCTAAAACCCTGTCGCTTGAACTAAACCAAGATAGGTATTCTGTAAGAGTCCGTTGGGTCGAGTCTCCATTAAAGAATGCGTTGGCATGATGATGCGACAGATTGAGAGCTGGTAGTGACAACTGGCTCGAGCTCTGTCCAATTAGCTCATACAGAAACTGACAGCCAGTAATCTATCACAGAATTCATCACAGGGATTTTTTTTACTGAACCTCTCGTAGACAGATGGAGTCTAAGTACTTCAAAACACATTTATATTGTGTGCTAGGTGATTTGGACATTTGGAGTTGCCCATCTTGTACACGCGGGAGTTGGAGGAAAATTATGAAATGTACAAAGATTATCTACCTATTGGGCATTTACTGTGCTCATACAAAGATATAGATAAGGCCTACACATCGGAGTAGTACAACTGGCTCGCAAACAGAGCAGCATTTATAGCAGCAGTAGCAAGAGAGGGTTAGTATACATTTTTAAAAACAGCCTCATCGTACGGCATTTTTATGCATTTTCGGCATACTGAATTAAATTGAAAGGGATTTCCCATGTTATTCCTTCTTCATTTACAGTGAATAGTGTGGTGTTGGCCACATTGTGGAACGCTAGATTTGCCTGGCTTTCTTCCTTTCTTTTGCAGCTGCACCCCGGCTGCGCAGCCCTCTGGGTCTCCTGGAGCTGGGCCGAGAAGGCGGAGCCAGCAAGCGACCTCATTCCATCATCTCTGTGAGCTCTTCGTCTTCATCTTCGTCAAGCCAAGGCTCTCTCCACTGTGCTCTCAACCTGGGTTTTGAGGCTGGAGATAGCCCTCGACCTCTACAGCGATCACTGACCCACCAGTCTCACTGCTCCACTGGTAAGAAAACATCATCATTGTAAGCCATTGTAGTCTGGTTGGGGAAGGTGTTGTATTGCAGTGCCATTTAGATAAACTCCACCCAATTGTGCCAAGCAAGCAGGTGCATCTAATCATTACTTAAAGCATTTGAACTAGATTAAATTGAACCACAGATGCAGAGAATCCTTTTGGAGGCTGAATCTCACTTGAACAACAGAATTTAGGCTGATTGGCCATGATCATTTAGTACCAATGCATCAACGAGTGAATTTAACACTTGTGCTGTTTACATCTACCTTACGTTATCTGGTGTTATTGGGAGTAGAATTTCATTGCTTGCATGCCATGTAAACCTCTTGTGTGCTATATTATTTCAGATGGGCTTGACTGTTATGTCATCATGGAAATTGTGGGATAATACTTGTTCAACAGCTTTTTACAAAAAGAATAATAGTAGGCTTCTGAAAATTGTTGAGAACTTCAAATATTCGAACGAATATGGCAGTGTTTGAATTTGCTCTGATTTGAATTCAATTTATTAGAAATTACAAAGTATTCGAAATGAATGAATAGGTGTATACTATACGTCCACATGTGACTTCCACTTGTAAAGGTGGTTTCATTGCATTGGAGGGGTGACGTACAGTGAGTGCACCTGTCAAAGGAAGTCTGCCCTGCTGCAAAGCCCCATACCAAGGTTAAATGAACACTTTACCCTCATAATAATTAATCAGTTTTTAAGTGTAAAAGCTCGTTATACTGGCCTTTATGCTCTGAGCATGGTAAATTTTCAAACTTCATGTACTTTGCAGGTTATCACTAGCGTTCCACCAAAAGTCAAATCCTGCTACTATCGGAGTTGCTTCAACTTCCTTAAAAAAAAAAAAAAAAAAGGATGACATTTGCTTATGCCTTGCTTTATTAAAAAAAAAAGCTGTTGTGCAGTTTAGTTGGCTCACAATAAATATGCACACTTTTCTTTATAATATGTGATATAAACTATTCAAATGTGTATTGAACCTAAAATTTACTATTCGCACGAGCCTAAATACTAGGGTGGCTGATTGATCTAGTTGGTGATGCATATTTTGAGATACACAACACAAACTTGGAATGTGGGTGTAGAAGAAAAAAAAGCGACAAGTGCATCGCTAGACTCTAGTCACTTTGCTTGCCCCGAGATCTAACTCTTCATCCACATTCAACCTTCATGGTATACACCTGAGATCACCATAAAACCGACTTTTTATAATATTGTCTGTTTTCAAGTTACTTTGCTTTAGTGCACTATTAAGGGCACACACATTGCTAGTTTTCTTTCTCAAGTCTGCTCATAATTTAGTCACTGTGATGCTGAAGAGTTAACTGCTTTTAAATTCTATCTGACAAGTGTGACAGGATTGCTTCATGTGTACAAATCACTTTAGATGACCAAATTGATGAATATTTGATGTAGTGTATCACTGTGCTTATGTGATATGTCCAGAAGAGCACTTTTTGCTGGACTGAATGGACTAATGGTTGAAGCACACTTTTTTTTTCTCTTTTTTGCAGAGAGTGGTTTCTGCACAGATGCCAGCACCGCTGGGGACTGCAGCGCAGATGCATCGGTGCTGATGATGCGAAGGCACCGTAAAGCAGAACGCAGTGACTCGCTGCTGTCCAATGATTCTCTTGCCACGCATTCAGAAGAAGGATCCCATTGTGGAGAAGAGGTCACCTCCTCACTGCACACCCAGGGCTTTTCACTGAATGAGTAAGAAATTACTGTTACACTTGTTTTGAACTGTTTAGTTTACCATTTAGTTTAGTGACCCTCAATTGAACCTAGATTTAGCAAAAGCGAACGAAGGAGGTATAGTGTGTCTGTATTCTTTCAGTACCACTGCACCTGTGTGGGGGCTTCATCATTGATTGTTTAGCATGTTATCCCTAGTCTGGAAGAGAATCCCTCTTGCAAATGAGGTTGCATCAGTTTCAAGTGCTCAAAAAACTTTAAAACTGAAATCCATTTTGGATGCACCTGCCCCAGATGCATCTTCTGCCATGGCTGCATTGAAACACCGAAATTTAACTAAAATGTGCTTTGCATGAATAGAAGTTGACTTTTGTGTTGAAGCCTTTTGATACTGCGTGCACTGTTGAAGTGTGGGCTATAGTCAGCATTCATTCAGAATTGTGGTTATTTGGGTCTTTTGGTTCATCATCAGTAACATGTAGTAGCAGAAATAACAATCTTCATGGTAGTGGTGCTACAATTTATTATTGTGTACTCATTACTTCAGCATTTTCACTTGCTGCTGTGCATCCTATAGGCATCATATAATAAATAGCATGCGTATTACTAATAGCCTATCATGGGGAATCATCCATGCTATGCTTTATAATGACAATGTCCTTTGTACACAGGCAGTTGCAAAAGGGAAGTTCTCCTTTGCAATAAATCTTTCTTTTAAAGAAAAATTTTCTTACTCTGCATGAACCTGAGGCCTTGATGTGCTGAATCAATCCACTGTTACAGCATATCCTACAGATTTGTTTTTGACTCTGCATTTCTTTGTTTTCCTTCTCTGAGTGTTTCTGAATGTATAGAAAGAATACATTTTAAGCTTAGAGCTATTAACCATGCTGGCAAAGTATATAACTGCCTATTTATATATAGGAATGTGCATAAAATGAAGCCAATGCTTGTGCTAGCTCTCCAGCAGCATTAGTGACCTCGAATGCTGCTGGTAATGCCTGTGTTGGCATAGTGATGTCGAGAAAACATTTGGGGCCAAGAAACTGCGCACGTAGAGTATAATAATGTGGTTTGTAGCACATTAGGGGACAACCATTGGGGGGAAAATTGTAGAAATATGACTTTGTTCTTTGTTCTGTTGTTTGGACTATAGAACTACGTGTGTCAGTACATCAACTACTCAGTTGCTATGGAACTACACAGTGGGGCTCTTCAATTTTCCACTTTTGGATACCTGCGCACTGCCAGAGCCAGCAAGAGCACACTCGTTTTTCTCTGGTTGCTTCGTCCCCCTGCGACGAACTTCCGGTTGGCGTTAGTTTTCGTCGGGTTGGACGGTTCTGGCTTCCCGCGAGAAACCTGAGAGTTGCCAGAAGCGTCCAAGACAATTTATTCATGGAAGCTCTCTGGAAGGTATTGAGCAGGTTTTGGGCTAGCAGATGCCGAAAAGATAAGATATGCACTTGTCGCCATCTTTTGTGAGGACTTGACAGATTGCAATGCAAGCTTTGGGGGACTGCGCCTTCACTTGTCATCACTTTTGGCGTTATCTTATAAAGCTTGTTCTGCCGTGCGAGATGGGGCGATTACAAGTGGTGGCGAGCTTTTGAAGCTACTGTTTATCGCTTTAGTTTCTCGTGAAGTTATCTTTTGTGAGCAACTTGCCGAACTGTTGCTTGCTAACTACATCGGGCACATGCCTCAAAAGTTGTGTACGCGTATGTATGCATGCATAGAGAGAACTTCAGAGTTATGTTTTCATGGTACGTCATTTGTGGGGCCTTGCCTGCTTTCTGTGTACTTAGCGAAGACAATTGTGGTCAAACTAGCTTACTCTGTCATGTGTTTGCATGCTTAAACCTCTCAAGAAATTCATTACTCAGTCTTCGATGGTGACAAAAGACGTTGATTGAATAATAAATATCGTACAGTTGTTTTGAAGTGTGTGATGCTCGCTGGTCGCGAACGGCATGCGAGCATACTTCGATCTATGGGCCAGCGTATTTAGTATGGTATGATATATATGATACTCTACGGTTTGTCAACTCGAGAAAAAAAAAAAATGGTTTCAGAAATGTGTACATCCTTTCATTGTCTATTTCATCAATGGCTTTATTTCTTTTTTCACCTCTATGTAATAATGCCATGCAGTATCTATGGTTATGACCTAGTAGCTCAAATAAAAGCTGAGATGCATGAGGTCTTCGAAGTTCCATTTAGGACTGGTAAAGAGGTGCAGGCAACTGCCAAAACGAGTCGAAAACTCATCATGCGGAAGTTTAAAATATTTTAGATACGACGGTGCACTCATGGCAACGTATGCTACGCGATAGCTGAGCAGGTATATATCCTCGAGCTCTTTTTGGGACACAATCAGTTTCGAGAGATATGGTCTTGTGTTGTGCAGTCACGGTTATGTGTACGAAGAAGACATGAGCTTGTTAAGCTGTCAATGGCGCGGCAGTTCGCCTTGCATCGTTCTCGAGGCACTGTACACCAGCTGAATGCTTTGTTTAATTTGTGGATGGGGTGAGTTGCAAGTGATCTTAGGAGCGTAGGAAGTCGTATCCCAAATGCATGCGCTTGAGGATATCATTTCAGTTCTTCGGAAAACTTAGCCACGTGTTTCAAAGTGGACAATGAAGGAAAAAAAACTAGCTTCATTTGCTGTCACGATGGTAGGGTTTGTTTACATTTGCACTGGCTGTCCCAGTGTTCGATTTTGCAATCTTGGGGTAGGCTTCGGGTTGTCTCTGTTTTCCCACACACGTGACTACGATGCTGTTTCCTGTCCCAACCACAACTAGGTGGCTGACCCTCTGGCTAGCTCTGGCTGCCAGAGAGCTGCCAAGAGGTCTGAAAGTCGGAGATCCATAATGGCTACACAAGTTTCTGTGAGGTTATGTGTGCATGGAAATGTCTAAATTGGTTCGGGATACCATGCCATGTAGTAAATTTGTTTGCAAAGACAAACTCCTAATAGCAATAGTTTTTTTTAAAGCAAATATGTAGAACATCTACTAAGACCATAGTTAACCCTTTTCCTATCAAAGACTAGCTGAGGCCGTCCTCCCTGAAAAAAGCATTTGGGAGCATCGCAGTTTACCTACCCTTAATCGTTTTGCTGTGTTGTCATTTGCAAAAAGTATACAAAAAAAGCTTTCAAAACATGCGTTTTGGTCTAGAAAGAACTTGATTTTGGTAACCAAAATTAGAAAATTGCATCCTCATATATGCATGAGTGGCATATACATGGGGATATCAGCTATTTTTTTTTGAAAAAACAAACAAAAATATGTACTTGTTTGCCGAAGTTTTGACTCCTTCTGCGGGTGTACCAGCAAGTAAACAAAGCAGCACTTTCTCTGAATCATCAAATTCGGACAGTGACTGCATCTTAGCATATCGGCATTGGATGCCGTTAGATGTAAGAAAATCCCCACCAGTGCATATAAGATTTGTCTTCATGAACACGTTTGTGCCTGCACTTTATTTCTTAAATTTGAGAGATGTCCTGCACTGAAGACTGCAAACGTTACGACACTTACTGTGGTGCAGTGCAGTGAAGCCAATGCTCTGCATATTTCTCTTTTAAATAATTTTTAGGTGTGTAAGACGGGTAGAATCAAATAGTGAAATTTTCAAAAGCAGTCAAAAGACCAAAAGCAGTAATTTTGCATTGGTTGTGGATGAAAAGCTTGATAGGGAAAGGACTAAAGCACAGTTTATTGTATTGAACTTGCTGTTGGCACCCAACTTCTGAGATTTAGTCTGCAAAGGTGATGCTTGTAACTCACTTTATTTTTAATAGGCAAGATTTAGTTTTCACTTGTGTCCATTACAGGAATTGACTCTGGGTGTGTGCAAGTAAAGTATTAATATAATTAAAATTGTCAAAAAATCATCAAATTTTATGAGATCGCCCAGAATAGTTTCATTCAGTGTAGCATCTGGGATGTGTTTTCACTTTCAACTATTTTTGCGTTTTGCAACAGCCTGTGCTTAGAAAGGGCAGCCAAAAGGCTCTTCAAAAATTTTTTGCATTTTGAACATAAATTGTAATCTTCCTCTCACCCTAACATTTATTTTGGTGATTATGTGGTGAGGGTCTGCAGTGTTTTTGAAATAAAAAGGAAACTCATTGGTATGTGTGTCATGGCCATAACTTATTCCATTTCACTTTTTCTTCTTACAGAACCTGACTTCAAATGCAACATCAACAAGAGGAGCAGTTTTAAAAACGCGGAATCGCAAAGCACACGATGATGCTTGTGTCTTTATTATGTTATTTTTCATCAAGTAACTTATTTCAACTGTAAAATGGGGGCAAGCAGTCGTGTGAAAAAAATCAAAAGATAGAACGAAATATAGTGGAGTAGAGCACCACTGTAACAACCAGCAAACCTCAGGGTCCTTCTTGTCTTGTATTACTACTACCATTATTCGTGTTGAGTATTTTTTTTATTGCTTTGTGAGGGTTCATGTTTTTTTTTTTCTCCTTAGTCCAATTTCATGCTGCCACGTCACCTGAAGAGGAAGACATGAGCTTAACATTGTACAATGTGCCATAGGAGTTGTGAAACTGGGTCTTCCTCCTCCTTAGCCCTCACACTCTGTAAAATTTACCTGAAATGTCACAAAAGCCCCCCCCCCCCCCCCCCCCGACAGGAGCAGGTGCAAAATTTTCAGTTGTGTGCCACTCTGTGAATTCTTACTTGGAGGCGGGGTCAGTGGGCGGTGCTGGCCAATGCTTGATGCCGGTGTGTGGGCTCTCTGGATTTGGCAGCCCTTCCACGAGCTGTCCTCTATAGGAGTCGTCTTAAAGATTGCGCCAGCGCTATCAACTGGGTGACCTGAGTGTGGAAGTGAACGAGGCTTCTCTTCTTCCTCTTTATTCTTTCTCTTTTGGTTTCTTTTTGCTGTACTTTTAAGAAAAAACTAGTTGGCACCATTCTCTTCATCTGCATTTCGTGGCAACATTGTCTGCGGTTTTCCTGGTGTTTGCATTAAGTATACCTATATTCAAGACTGCCAGAAAAGGGAAAGAAAAAAAATGTCTATGGAACAAATTCAATTGGGCATGTTTGTTTTCTCAGTTCTGTTCAATGCTCAGTAGCTTGTGGAAGTTGCCCTCTCCCTGTGTATTCCTTTCTTTCCCTTGCCTAGTGCTCTTTATGGAGGCACCTACCTGTGTGTGTGTGTGTGTGTGTGTAATGTGTGCATGTATGGGTGCATGCAAGCCGAGTGTGTGACATGTAGCATGCTGTTGCATTAAAGTGTGAATGTACTAGTGTGTTTACAACGATACCTCTTATATTCCTATTATTTTTATTATTGTGGTTGCTTAGTTATGCCTGATATTATTACAGCCGTCATGTTATTTAATTGCATAGAGGAGCAGTGCGGTTAGTTGGGAGTGTGCTAATCTTGTGAGATATCCTTAGAATGTTCCACTGTTTCAGATCTATCAAGTGATAAGCATGCTGAGAAATGTAAAATAGGGGATACTTCTAGCAGTAGAAAAAACTTATATTAGGAGCAGGCTGCAAAACTGCTGCTTCAAGCAATTGCTCTTCTCTGACTTGTACATAATTTGATTGTAAATGTCACAAATTCCAAAATTTTCTTAATTGTTCCTTCTGGTCACTTATTCACTTGTGCCATTTTTGATTTAACTCTGTTATGAACCTTACTGGATCTGTGTTGTGATGCCGTGTTTTCTTTTGTAAATCTTAACACAGTTGTTCTGTGTACCTATTTCTGGTTTGTATAAAAATAAATGTTTTTGCCTAATACTTAGTGTGTCGCTCTGTCATGTGTCATTGTGTGAAAAGGTTATGGGCAGCAATACTGCAAATGTACTCAATTTAACTGGGTTTGTAAGAGATGCAAAGGGTTGTAATTAAAGGGGCCCTGCAACACCTTCCCAAGCAACCATTGAATGACTTTATTAAAGGAGTTGATTACCTCTCAAATCACTCGCTGCAAAAATATTTAAAATCCGTGAAGTATGAATAAAGTTTTAGAGATTTGTCAGATGTAATTGCTTTTTCTCTCCTCCCTATGAGCGCACTTTGAAGCTTAGCAGGGAGGGGTGAGTTTAAGGAAATGTTACGACTTGCCCACATGATGACCTTGAGACCTTTTTCTTTCTTTTTTTGAAAGTGCAGCTTTCAATTTTATTGAACATGGCAGCCTCCCATTGCAGCCACTGTAACTACGCAACTTGCATTGCTCAAGTCGGTTAATTGCCTTAATATGTGTATATGGCAACATTTGTAGAAAGAAGAGGGAATGATTTGTAGCTGACTTGCAAATACCAGGCCACCCGAGGCACTGTAATGTTTGGCTCGCATGTTCTCGGGAGCCTTGACTACTAATCGGCAGCATTTTGGACCATGCTGAAAAAAAAAAAGCATCTCCACGAAGTGAATCATGATGTGTGGGTGAAGCTCTGGGTATAGTATCGGTGAGTGACTATACATTATCCATGCGTTGCCTCATATAATGTAAATTAAGTGGGAAAGTGTGCATGATAATGTAAATTCATTTCACAATTCAAGGAGGATTTGAATATTGCTGGAGCGGAGTATATGCCTCGAAAGTTAATCCAAGAACCCGCAATTTCACCGGTGGCAAAATACCATTTTAATATGGGTAATATGTGACGCGTGGTGCTTGACGTGTGACTTTGTGGTTTTCTTGCGAAGTTTCAACATCTAGGCACATTTTAGTAGAGATCAACCCACCAATGCTCTTCTCGATAGGTTATTCTGTCGGGAAACAGCTATGTCTTACCTTATAGTTAGGCAATGTCTACGTTGAAGTGTACTGTAAAAACGTTTTTTTGTCTCGCATATGTTTCAACTCTATTCCACCTCCCTCCTCGGCTATTTTATAAAAAGAAAAAGAAACGTGGTTGATTCCCTTATATAAAAATCGGTATGACACGAAAGTGAAACGTGTTTTTACGGAGGTAGTTGAGCGTTTATTGTGCATTTTTAAGCAACAAATTGCAAAACCACGTCAGGAACGCCAAGCAGCTCGAAACTGTCGGTGCACCTCTCCAGCAAAACAGCACGCACGAAATGGGAATACACAGGACGAGCGCGGACTAACAACTGTCGCAGCTCGACACTTAAAGCGCGCTGTTTAAACAAAGAAAGGCGCGAAATGAGCGCACAAGTATACACACAAAAAAAAGCGCGAACAACTGTCACATTTTTTGCTGCGTCATGTATCAGCACTGCGCTCCTTTCGTAAACGTGGCCGTGCAAGCCTGCGAAGTGATCTTCGTCCTCTCCCGGAACGAGTCTGACAAGTGCGCGCACAGAACTCCGTGGAGGCGGCGTTTCATGGAGGCGAAGACCTTTGAGCTCGCCCAACACTAAACCCAACGCTAAAACGTCGTAGTTCTAGTGGCTTTACACAACGCGAACCTTTCGTGCCATCTCGCCACTGATAACGAAAACGCGCTAAAGTTTTGAAGCTCCGATACTAGCTCTGAAGACCGATGTATGGTGTGTATAAATGGCTTCCCGTTACCACCCCTGCCAATAACGTTGTTTTTTTGGCGTAGTGGTTGCTGGTTCAAGTCCGCGCGACAAGTTTGTGACTTCTTTTTTCTTGGCAATCTCTTGGTATACCTTTTTCAACGTCACTACCGTGACGGAAGTACTATCGCTCTCAGTATGAGTTACACCCAGCGAGCGCGTGGCCATGCGCGCTGCAGTGTTGTACTGTAGCGCCGATCATGGCATATTTTCGAGTTATCGGGATAGGGTTGGCTTTTGGTGCGAATGCATGTCGCCTCTATTTGCTTTCACGCTCGCCCTCATTTGGCCCTGTGGGGATATCACCTTCAAAAATAACTGCCGCCTTGTCCTGAAGACCAAATTTTGTGCTCGACAAGCCGGGCTTCACAAAACACGTGATATCTAGCCTTGCTCTTTTTGTTCGCTTCGTTTTATTCAATTGGGAATTCCAGACTAAAGCGCCTCTTACCGTATTACGTGAAAGAGGCTGTGTCTAGGGCACACTGCGAAACACTGGAAAGCTTCATCACATTGGAAAATGTCCCGAGTGCCGAACAGTGAGCGCCTGCGGATAGTTGAATTGTCCCAGAAGCAGTACACTCAGCGCCGAATAGCAGGGATGACGGGGAGGTCGAATGAGACCGCAAATCGCATCATCCTAGCTTATAAGAAAGAAGGCCGCATCAGCGACGCTCCACATGAACAGCACCCTCGTGCAACGACTGCTTTTCAGGACGCCCACGTCCGCGACGCCGCGAAGGCCCTTCAGTACTGCCAGAGAGATCGGTTCGGCCGCTGGAGTCTTTGCAAGCGCGTCGACAATAAAACGACGGCTAGCCGAAGGTAAACTGAAGAGTGGCAGCTTTGGATAGTTGGTATGGCATGACGATAGTTATAGCGCGAGAACAAAACGACGGCACAGAGACTTCGTGCCCTTCTTGTCTCTGTGTCGTCGTTTTGTTCTCGCGCTATAACTATCGTCATAAACTGAAGAGCCATGTTGCGGCCCGGAAGCCGCGCATCTCCTTGTCTAACAGGAAGGCGTGTCTTCGCAAAAAAGCACCACGTCTTCTGGACCACGGACGACTTGAAAACAGTAATTTTTACTGACGAGTCCACGTTCACCACACGCTGGGACCAAAAGCAACGTGTGTGGCGCCCTGTCAATGCCCGCTACGACAACGAAAAAGTATCTATAAACGTTGTGCTGCGACTCCCCCCACGAGCAAGAAGTATCATCGAGCGGACGCACGGCTGTGAATGTTTGGGACGCTATGTCTCGTGATGGGCTTGCTGTTTTGCACCGCATTGAGGGACACCTGACATCGGTAAAGTAGTGCGACATCCTCGATTATGTAATGATACCTTACGCGTTGGACGGACCTTTTCCTGACGGGGCGTTGTCGAAGAATGGATACGCCTCCAAAATGAACGCAGTTGCATTGACAATTTGTACGCGTCACTACCGTTCAGAAGGCAAAATGTGACTGCCGTGCAAGGGGCCATGACCCGCTACTAAGGCGTGGCGACCACTTCATCTGCTTTCCTTTCCCGTCAGTTGCATTCTTGCATCTTAATACTATCAGTGCCGACGCGTCATCGGTTCATCAGCAGCCGTTCAGCATTGGGTCCGCAGCCAAGCACCATTGACGAAGTTGCTAGCCGGAATAGAAATTTCCATGTAGTTGCTTTTTATGTTGTGCATCTTAGTGTAACCTCATTTTGTTTTATTTTTGTGCACAATTCTACCTTTTTGCAGTACTCGTGGTATTATTCTGTTCCTAATTTCTTTGATTGCGAGAAACTGACTTTCCTTCGCCATTTCAAGTCACACTTAAAGGGCCCCTAAACCACTCAGCGGTCGAAATTTAGTTGAGGTGAGGAAGTTGTGCTTGAGATTACAACAAACACGTAGCCGTGAGAATTTTTCGACACGGGGCTGTAATAGCGGAGTTACACGCGTTAGATGATCGAAACGCGACGATCGCTTCTTTCCCTCTTTCATACGCTACCCTCTTCCAAAACCTCTTGGCCCCTCCTCGCTGAGTCAGCTGAGTGTTCCTCCTCATCTCGCGTGGTATACGTCACCGCTGACGCTCTGTTTGAGACAGCCTCCGCTTCCGGTTGCCGCGATACTCCTACGCCCCAGCTCGCCGTCAACTGTGGCTGTGTTCCAATACTCACCGTAGACGGCTAAATAGACAGCTAAATGGAAGGCGGCCATCTTATGTCCCATTCCAATTCTCACGTAGCCGGCAAAGTAGACAGCTCCGAGAAGACCGCATCGTAGACAAATACGATGCAGGCTTCTTTGCTGTCTAAACAAGATGGCGGCTCAGCGAATCGCTCAGATAGATCAAATCTCGCCAGAATGGCCGTCTGCACACAAGCAGACGCTTTCCCAGACGCTCAATGTGAGTAAGTAAAGTTTATTTGTTTTTGAATTTAACTTGAAAGAAGCCAGAAATTACAACTGTTACGTTTGTTTCTTTTAGGTTTTGCTTCTCGCTGTGAGGTGGCGCATCGTCGCGTAAAAGTTGTCTAAACGTGTTCCAATTCTCGGACAGCCTGGTGTCGGTGCGTTCTTCTAAGCAGTCTGCGTAGACTGTCTACGTGCTGTCTAAGAATTGGAACACAGCCTGTGTTGTGTGTGCCATCTGGGTGCAATGATCGTTGACTAACCGCTGTTGCTGTCGTGCCGGCCCGTTCCCCTACGAATCGTGCCGGTATGGACCCTTTGTTGCGTTACGGGCCGCAGATGTCGATTCGCAAGCGCCAACACGACCAAGAACAGCAAGGTGCGCGCGAACAGCTGTTTGCAAAGTGACCGTAAGTCGTTGGTTGTCGTTCAGCCAATCGCAAGCATCAAACGTGGCGACGTCATCGGGTTTCATTGGTGATGTCACACATGTCAGTGGCGGGAGTACACCGTCTAGTACACTGTAGCGGGAGTGACGAGGACCGGAAAGGAGGAACTATTGTTTTTTCGAAATTGTGGCGCGCCCGCTACCTTTAGCGCTGCGGCGTGGGGTATCGTTGATCGTGACGGCATTCTGCACGCGATGCGCTTGTTTACTTGAAATCTTTGTAAAAATATAAGAGGTGGTTGACTTGTATCTTAAACTTGACTTATATCTTAAAGCTACTACTACAGAAATAATAAATGAATCTAAAACAGCTAAGAAACATAAGAACTTGACTGATTCAGAAAGCCGCAGTATTTCTAGCCTCAAGTCGCGTGAAGATGTTATAAAAGGCGGTGTATAAGGGAAGAAGCAAAGTGATCTGGCCAGTAGAGAAGTACAAGCTCGAAGCTTACAGACAACTGAACAACCCTGAACACTACCGTAAACAGACTTAGCGCCACAACAGTAACACTATCAGACAGAAACCACCCTAACACATTCCTTGACAAAGCCTATACAGACGCACTGGAACTGGACAGCAATGAAGCACTCCAACCACGCTCCAAAAGCGCAACAGCAACTACACCTCTTC